TTCATACACAACGTGGAGCGTGTTGCCTTACCGATAGGAGACACACTTCATACACAACGTGCAGCGTGTTGCCTTACCGATAGGAGACACACTTCATACACAACGTGGAGCGTGTTGCCTTACCGACACAGGACACACTTCATACACAACGTGGAGCGTGTTGCCTTACCGACACAGGACACACTTCATACACAACGTGGAGCGTGTTGCCTGACACGAGACACACTTCATACACAACGTGGAGCGTGTTGCCTTACTGACACGAGACACACTTCATACACAACGTGAAGCGTGTTGCCTGACACGAGACACACTTCATACACAACGTGGTGCGTGTTGCCTTACTGACACGAGACACACTTCATACACAACGTGAAGCGTGTTGCCTTACCGACACGAGACACACTTCATACACAACGTGAATCGTGTTGCCTTACCGATAGGAGACACACTTCATACACAACGTGGAGCGTGTTGCCTTACTGACACGAGACACACTTCATACACAACGTGGAGCGTGTTGCCTTACCGACAGGAGACACACTTCATACACAACGTGGAGCGTGTTGCCTTACCGATAGGAGACACACTTCATACACAACGTGAAGCGTGTTGCCTTACCGACAGGAGACACACTTCATACACAACGTGAAGCGTGTTGCCTTACCGATAGGAGACACACTTCATACACAACGTGGAGCGTGTTGCCTTACCGATAGGAGACACACTTCATACACAACGTGAAGCGTGTTGCCTTACTGACACAGGACACACTTCATACACAACGTGGAGCGTATTGCCTTACGGACACGAGACACACTTCATACACAACGTGAAGCGTGTTGCCTTACCGATAGGAGACACACTCGTACACAATGTAGAACAAGTACCGGACTAACACCACATTGACAAGAGGCGTGGACATGTGGTCTCCCTCTACTGTGGCCTGGGTAACCCCGAGTTGTGTTTTTCGGGCTGGTGGATGGTGAGGGTTGGGGAGAGGTGGGGGGGGAGCGATGGTTGGGGGGGGGGGGGAACAGCGGTCTTGATTTGTGGGTGGCGGGGCCACACCAAAAATGTTGAGAACCACCAACTTGAGAGTGAGGTTGTTCTCCACAAATGTCTAAAACACAACCAACAGAGAATGCGCGTTATTGCTGGGTGGGCAATCCCACTGAGCACACGCGTGGAGGAGAGAAAGCCAAGGGAGCTGGCCACAACGAGCGTCGCTCGACCCAACTGACCCCCCAATAGCCACCTCATTCGCGACTGCTCGTGAAAATGTGCAAGAAAAAAAGGGGACGCTCAAATCGTTCTGCATCCACGCTGGAGTTTAATCGTCACTATCATCATCATCAGCGGCAGCAGTTAGCAGCAGCAACAGCCATGATCAATCCACTGCTGGATGAAGACCTCCCAATTCCCCGCTGCCATCCTTGTCGTTGCTGCGATGCAACACGCCCACACAGCCGTCTACACACGAGCCGATTTTATTGCAGATGCAGTGAGATCGCGGATGTCACTGTATGGTGCCGGCCCTAGAGGGGCACGGCGTGCGATGTACTCACATCGCGGACATCACGGATGTAGCAGCATCGTGCATGTCACCGGGTAACGCCGGCTCTAGCGAGGCACGGCGTGCGATGCACCTTCATCGCGGACACCCCGTAGGTGGGTGTAGTACCAGCCCTAGTGAGGGCTTGGTGAGTGCTGGGTGGGTGTAGTACCAGCCCTAGTGAGGGCTTGGTGAGTGCTGGGTGGGTGTAGTACCAGCCCTAGTGAGGGCTTGGTGAGTGCTGGGTGGGTGTAGTACCAGCCCTAGTGAGGGCTTGGTGAGTGCTGGGTGGGTGTAGTACCAGCCCTAGTGAGGGCTTGGTGAGTGCTGGGTGGGTGTAGTACCAGCCCTAGTGAGGGCTTGGTGAGTGCTGGGTGGGTGTAGTACCAGCCCTAGTGAGGGCTTGGTGAGCGCTGGGATAGCGCAGTGGCACCACGCGTGGCGTGCAGTGCGGGCTCCCCCACCGGAGGGAGTGGGAGAGTGTCAGCCCAGGGACAGGGTTACCCTGGGCCATGGCACTCTGGTTGACCCCGAAGGCACGTGACCGGTAAAATCTGCAGGGGGGCCCCCAGGTGGGGGGCTAAGGGGTGGTCACGCGTCCGGGGAAAGTTGTCTCAAGAAGAGTCGAGAGAGTGCCAGAGCTCTCTCGAAGGTGGGCGGGGCCAAGGGCGGAGCCGGCCCCGACCCGGGAGCATATAAGCCGGGTCCCCGCAGGGACCGGGGTTCGTTGTTGCTACCGTCATCTGAAGATCTACGTCCAGAAGTTTCCAACACGTGGTCTGGAACCCGAGCCGGGTTCCAGGCCGTATTAGCTAACTCCCAGTGCGTTTGTATAGTTAGCCGGGTGGTCCACCACCCTAGGCTGTTATCTGGTAAAGGGGCAGCTACCCCTTTGTGTATTCGTGTTGTTGCTGTATTTTTGGTCCAACCAGACCCGATTGAAACCCATTTCTTTTAAACTGCTTTTCGTATTTAGTTGGTTGTACTTCCCCCGCATCTCCGAGTAGCACGGTTGGCTACGTATGGTGCGAAAGAAGATCCATATACATACATACGTATTTTCTGTAGAGGTTCCACGGTGGTGAAATGTTAATTACCTCGCCTTGTATAAGGATGTCCCAAATTCGATCCTGACCCTGACGATGCCTGTATATTTGGAGTTTGCATGTTCTTTCTCTCCCTGTGGTCGTGTGGATTTTTCTCCGGGTCCTCCATTTTATTTCCTCCATAATTAGAAACATGTGTTTAGAGTATTTGGCTGCTTTGCCACTCATTTCCCATCCATCCAATCCATTCGTCATCATTAGCTCTCGTCAAATGTTATTTTACTTAATTGATGCATCACAGGCTCGCCCATTACTTCCTCTCATATTTTATTCACCCCATCTCCACCATTACATTCGTACGTACCGTTTTTCATTCTCTGTAAAGCACCTTGGTTAAGACATTATATAAATTACGATACGATAAGATACATTTCCACATGATAAGCCACTTCGGTGAGCTATAATTTGTCGCCAGGTCGCTTCTGAAACAAGAGCTATATAGCTCAGTGGGCCTTACCTGGTAAAATAAAGATAGTTGAGTTATTATAGAGCCTTCTCAGACTCTTTGGTTCTATTCAGTAAAGTCACGTCGGTAAAAATAAAATAACAAACAATCACGACGTTTCGGCCACAACACAAGTGGCCTTCATCAGGTGAAAGGACTGGACTCTCCAGAGGACAGCGTTGGAGTGAAAACAGCAAGCCCAGGTCGCGTCCTTTAAGCTGTGTGGGAGGAAACAAAAAAACGCCTTGACAAAGGAATTAGCATAAAATGATGTACTGGACCGGCACGGTGGGGGGGGAGTTCAAATCTAGAATTGAGCCTTATCAGACTTAAATTTTGATTTAAAGCTTTCGTGACTGCAGTGATTCATAATCTTGGCTCTTTCCGTAAAGTCACGTTGAAGGGAAACAATAAAATAATAAAATATATATAACAATAAAATTCTCACGACGTTTCGACTGCAACACAAACAGTCATCATCAGGTGTTTGTGTTGCAGTCGAAATGTCGTGAGAATTTTATTGTTTCATATATATTTTATTATTTTATCGTTTCCCTTCAACGTGACTTTACCGAAAGAACCAAGAATACCTTATCAGACTGTTGGGGACAAGTGCTGTTAGCGAGCGGCACCTATGAAGGCCGGCACAGCACACGAGAGGGTGACTGGCCAACACCACGCCCGGCCGCCTTTTTCTATCCAGCGGCCATGTTTATACATCGCTCATTCGAAGCTGAGTCGACCTAGCAGAGGCCCAGAACCGGTACGGATGATCGTTACTGGCGTTGGCCGTGAGCTGCAATCGAACTCGTGTCGCCGGGTTGGTAGCGCAGTGTGCTCACCACCGCGCCACACACACACACACACATGGACGAGTCATATGACGGATTACAAGCTACGACAGGTATCAGCGTTAGTACCAGTGCTTTGCTGTGCTATCAAGGGACTCTCAAAGCTTTGCTCACCGAAGCAGCCGCTCACTTTAAAGGCCACCAGCCACGCTGTGTTTGTTGGACCACCGCAACTGCAGATCCAGGCGCTTGCATTGCCTGCTTCTAAACCTGGCACTGCTCCACATTTGGAATTCCCTCCTAAACCTTTGCTCAATCCCAAAAAAACCCAATGGGATTTTGTTCTGTTTACACCCTCGATAGTGCCGTTTTAGTTTGGCCACTTGGGAGTTGTGGGTCCTTTTGGGCGTGTGCTATGCGACCGTGAATGTAATATATATAACAACACTCAAAGAAAATAATTACCAGCATTTTAAAGACTGGACGTTTCATAAACATTCAGCTTTAAAAAAAAAACACAAATCAACAATTCTCAGTGCCCCTTTCAGCACCATTAAAAACATCGCGTGGGAGTTCGGCTTCGGAATGCAAAAAGTATCCGAAACTTGTAAACAAATTTGAAAAACTTTTCTTTCTCCGAGGATGTCCGATCCCAGAAAATAAAGTATCTCGTTCCGTCCCGCGGAAATGCCTCTACGCGTCATGCTATACATATGTATATCGTGAAAATACTTCCTAACAAAAAATGCAAATATTCGTTTTAATCCCAGGTGTAAAACGTTAAACCCACGAGGGATACACATTGATGAAACCTGAAAACCACTCAGGAGGACCTGTGGTTTGAGTTTGACTTTTTCATAAAATCCGTTTGGTCGTAACTTTATCTCAACCAATGATCCACCTTACCCTTGCCCCTACCTCCTTATACGAAGCTTCAAACGAAAAACTATAACCGTAAACCCTAATGCCTAAACTCTAAATCTCTGATAATAGGGGTTTCCCCTTTTTACCTGGCAACAAAACAGGTGATAAGATGTTAAAACACCAAACTGAAACCTTTACAAGGAATCATGTATGCATTAACCACAATACTTGTGGTCAGAATGCAAACAAAAACCTACTCTGATAATATATGCATTGTCTTTGAAACTGATTGGTTCACACCAGAGACAGCCTTCTTTTGAGCCTCGTCTCAAACGTTGTTAGACCAGAGAACGCTTGACTACTTGAAATTCCCACATGGTAAGCTACTTAATTGGGCTATCATGTGTGGCCAGGTCGCTTCTGGAACAAACGTTTACTTTCCATAATAAAGGTTTTTTTGGGTTAAATTGCGTCAATATAAATGTGTCGTTAAACCCGCGACTACACAGCCAATTATCAAGGTTTGTCACGTAAACAAAATGTGCCAATTAATTCCTACTTCAGCACACCGGTGTTGGAGAGTAAACGTTTAATTGTCTGAGAACGTATTCGTTCCACTGGAGGAACAAAGAATGCGTCCCCAACTATCCGCCCTCCCACCTTCCGTCCATACCCAATATCCCCCGAATATCCATTTCTCGGGGGAATACATCTTCCGGGGGAAGCCAATATTGGTTCACCGTGACTACAGGGCCCAGTCGGTAGTGTCGCCGGGCCGGCTACAGGATCTGGGCCTCCACGAGGCGGTAGTAGAGGCCCCGGGCGGACAGCAGCTCCTCATGCGAGCCCAGCTCACAGATGTCGCCGTCCTGCAGCACCGCGATCACGTCCGCCGCGCGCACCGTCGACAGCCGGTGAGCGATGACGATGCAGGTGCGGCCCTGCTGAGCTTTCTCCAGAGCGTCCTGCACCACCTGGTTTCATCGCAGCAGCAGGCAGGCAGCATTGCGGCAGCAAAAAGCAGCAGTAGCAAGCAGCAGCAGCAGGCAGCAGCAGCAAGATGAATGTCGATGGACCGTTTGGATGCTTCGCTCTCGCGGCTTGTGCCACTTTTCCCGTTGACACATGCGAGCCGTGCCGGGGCCATGCCGAGTCCGGCCGTCACCACTCAGGAGGAGCCAGGTTTTGTTTTTTTCCACTGCAGAAGGCGAGCCGCGACGCTGGTATCGCGCACAACGCGCGGCGTCGAGACGCATGTGGACGAAACGGCGATGCGGTGTTTGTAAGTCATACCAACAGACATCACACGCTGAGAATTAGTCATTGAGCCGCTGCCTCTGGCCCTGCTTGGCCCCCGAGATAGAGTAATATGACTTGTGATGCCAGCGTATCATGGTACGAGCAAACCTGTGCACATGGCAGATTGCTAGTGGAAGACCACCTGTACCGAGAGGGGCCCTAACGGGCTCGGTTTCGATGTGGCAGTGGAAAATGGCTGTATTGGTGAAACGCGACATAGTGATCATCGTCATGTTGTGAAAATTATGATGATCACTATGAAGCAATGATTGTCATTTCGTGAAAATCTACATCGTACGATAAACACAAATTACATCACGGTAATCGTGGAGGGCAGTGAATTGGCATTCACGTTGAGCCTCTTGTCAGTACCCGGCCCCCGCGCCCCCCCTACGTCCTCCCCCTGGGGAGTCTCACGAAGCAACTAGTGGTGACCGAAAAATGTGCGAGTTCAAACTCTGCGACGAGTCCCAGTCTCAAATGCCGCACACAAATAAATAAAGCCATCATATCATGCAAAGTGATATCGCAATAATTATCAATAAACATCAGAAAAAACTCCCCCCCCCCACCTCTTTCCTATTCCCCTTTGATGCTGTTATCTTCCCCCTAACCTTCCTCCCCCCATATCAACTCTGCTAAAGGCTCCCCACCTGGGTGGGGCAGTGTGCCCAATCTACTCCCCTCCATTGCCACCGAGCCCTGCCCTGCCACGCCGATCTCGGCCTTTTGCTTGCGGAATCTCTGCCCTCCCCCCACTTCTTGTTCGGCGACCGATGCTATGTACCGGGCTCGAGTTTTTTTTATTTATTAATTACGTCGTATCGCCATCGCGAAGAAAACGCAATCCGGCGGTGGCGACGGCACGCACCTTCTCGCTCTCGGCGTCCAGCGCGGACGTGGCCTCGTCCAGCAGCAGCACGCGGGGGTCCCGGAGGAGCGCACGCGCGATCGCCACGCGCTGCTTCTGCCCGCCGGAGAGCTGGGCGCCACGCTCGCCAACCACCGTGTCGTACGCCTGCGGCAGCACGGCCGACACCGCAGCGACGACGAGGGCGGGCGAGGAGGGTAGCGAAGAGGTGGAGCAGGGGGAGTTGGAGCAGGGGAGGAGGAGGAGGTGGGGGGGAGCGCACGTTAAGGAACGTCGACGGCCAACGTTCGCGCGGCGATGCCGACGATGACGGTGATATTGATGGCGACAATAAAGACGATGACGATGAAGGCGACGCTGATGATGACGACAAAGACGACGTTGATGACGACCACAGGCCGCGTCACGCGCGCACCCGGCCCGCCGCTCGGACCTGCGGCAGGGACTCGACGAAGTCGTGGAGGTTGGCGGCTCGGGCGGCGGCGACGACCTCGTCGCGCGACACCGCACGGCTCACGTCGCCGTACGCGATGTTCTCGGCGATGGAGCAGCCGAACAGCACCGGCTCCTGCGACACGACGCCCAGCTGCCGGCGCAGCCAGCCCAGGTTCAGCTGCCTCACCTCCACGCCGTTCAGAAGCTACCCGCGTGCGCGCAGACAAAGAACCGCCGTATAGCGTTAAAAGACTGCCCGGGGCAAGTGCTGTTCAGCGGGCACCCTATGAAGGCCGGCACGGCACACGAGGGGGTGGGTGGCCAGCACCACACCCGGACGCCTTTGTCTCCCCAGTGGCGATGTTTCACACACTGCACCGGGTACTAGGGGAGGCTCAGGATCGGTTCTTTCACGCCGTACGTAGCCCACTGTCCTAATCGGAGGCGCGGTATACTTGGTGTGGAACACCACTTGATGTGGAACACCACATCAAGTATACCCCTCACTTTGGCTGTGGCTATTAGTCACGACAAAAACAAATAAACATAGCAAACAAAATGTAAAAAAAATAAACAAAAAAAGAGAACGGGATTCATGAATTGAATTGTGACCCTGAAATTGCGACAAATCATGGAATCTCTACATGGAAAAGGGGGCGGTGAGTGGGTGAGGTGATGGATCGTGATGTGTTTATCTCGATACGCGCGCGTTCACGAGCCGATCATCTTCATCGCGTCGAAGTCCAATAGTCCCACACGCGCGATTTATCGTGGGACATGTTTGATCTCAGCGGGTGACACACAGTCAACTTAATGAGGCCTCTCCTGGTGGTAAAAGGCTAGTTGTAAAATAATTATCCATTCGCCACTGAGGGAAAGGATTTGATTTGAATGTCGTAGCATCTCGAAGCGCAGCTTTACTTCTAGCGAAGGAGTTGTGACTGTTGAGGGTGAACTGCTTGCATAGCCGGCACCACGAGAATTGGCTACGACTTGGTTGGGAGACCATCATCCAGCGGTGGATCGATCATGGCTGACGATGGTTCTATTACTGCGTAATGCAGCGATGTGTTCGGGACCTGGATGCCAAAGTCGTTGCCTGCTAGCCGTGACGAGAGGGCTTCAGGACGGAGATTTCGTGTCGCTTTGCTTTTCCTCCTCGTCCGTTGAAAGAGCGGAGGCCACATTGGTTGACTTTATCGATCCATAGTCTGGGTTGCATGGACATAATCGCACGACTGTGGCCTGTATATTTAATGTATACGTATATATCTCTATGGGTTTAACATATGGTCCATAGCTTGTTCTGCATTGCCACAATCACACGACTGCAGCTGGTCTTTAATGTATATCTATGGGTCTCTATGTATCTCAATGTGTCTGTGTCTCTATTTGTCCCTGTGTAGCTCTATGTGTCTCTATGTAAATACTATATGGTCCATAGTTTGGGTTGCATGGTCACAATCGCACCACTCTGTGGGTTGTGTCTTGAATGTTCCATTGATGAATGAGATGTGTACATCGGCCTGTCAATGTTCCGACGCGATTATTTTAAATGCATCCCACCACCGAATGCTCAAATGAGCATGGGCTATTGCAAATTTTATTCTTACAGTCCTAAGCTAGTCGTGGAAATTCCATTTTCCTATGGTGGGTGGTGAGTTTATCCAGACTACACTATCCAGAGGATATTCACTTCCGAGAATGTGGTTCTCATTGTATCAACACTACAGAATCATGATGACAGTGAGCTGAGTTGTTTACATTTGGAATCCTCAAGTGGAACTAATAATACATGTATTAAACATTTTTATGTTTATAAACATTAATACATGTTTATGTATTAAACATGTATTGTTATTATTTTTAGCTGTTTTGCTTTTTATTCTTGGTTCTTTCGGTAAAGTCACGTAGAAGGGAAACAATAAAATAATAAATATATAAAATAATACAATTCTCACGACGTATTGACTGCAACACAAGCAATCATTATCAGGTGTGAAAACCACAGCAAGAAAATTTGAAAAAAGTGGCGGTTTTTTTTTACGTTAGCACCACGAAGAGCGATTTGGCAGTTATTCAGATGGACGAGTCCATCTATGATCAGAAAAGAGGGGGGAGACGAAAATAATGGATGCAGTCTGAAAGCCACCGTAAGCGTGAACAATCACTTAAGACCCGAAATGGTTTATCAAATCCTTCCAATGATTGCTAAGCCAGAATCCATCTTCTCGGTTGAAATTGTCTCTGTGTTTGTATATGTGGATAGCCTCATGAACGAATCTCTCATGGTAGCCAGATGGCTTGCAAAGAACCTATGTCTTGGAGAAGTCAATGTCATGTGAGCCTACTGAATTATAACAGTGATCTGCCACGGCCGAGGTGTTGGTCCTACCGTGTTTTAGGTCTGCTTTGTGTTCACGAATGCGGTCCGAGACATGTCGTTTGGTTCTCCAATGTAACTACTACCACAGAGGCAACTTAGTTTGTAGACGCCAGGGTACTGTATGTCCGGAATCACATCTTTTACAGACGGAACCAGATCACGGATTTTATGTAATGTGTTGAATCGGACCTGGATCTTGTGTTTATTCAAGATTTTGGAGATCGTTGTTGTGATCCGCGCAATGTAGGGTAAAGTGATGGTTTTGAAAGGCTCCTCAAGAGGGTCCTTCTTTATGGTTGGAGTAATAGCTTTGCAGATTGTGTAGTCGGAGTAACCATTAGCCTTAAGTGCTTGGTGTACATGCTTGAGTTCACTGGCTATGTGTTCCTGGTCGGATATGCATTGGGCTCTATGGTGCAGAGTCTTGATGAGGGAATTCTTTTGGGATGGATGGTGGTGGGAATCCGGTTTCAGGTAAGCATCCGTATGGGTAGCTTTCCTGTAGACAGAGTGGCTCATTGAACCATCAGGTCTCTTTTTTATTAGGACATCCAAAAAAGGTAGCTTGCCATCTTTTTCGACTTCCATGGTAAATCTGATGGCTGGGTGTATGGAATTTATGTGGTCGAGGAATTGGTCTAGAGCAGGCCGGCCATGTGGCCAGATGACGAAAGTGTCATCCACGTACCTCTTCCATAAGGTTGGGCTCAGAGTGGCAATCTGGATGGCGTCAGTCTCAAATTTCTCCATGAAAATGTTGGCTACAACCGGAGATAGGGGGAAGCCCATTGGGGTGCCCTCAGTTTGTTTGTAGAAAGTTCCATTCCAAGTGAAGTATGTATTGGTTAAGATGGACTCGTCCATCTGAATAACTGCCAAATCGCTCTTCGTGGTGCTAACGTAAAAAAAAAACGCCACTTTTTCTAATTTTCTTGCTGTGGTTTTCACACCTGATGATGATTGCTTGTGTTGCAGTCGAAACGTCGTGATAATTTTATTGTTTTATATTTTTACTATTTTATTGTTTCCCTTCTACGTGGCTTTACCGAAAGAACCAAGAATATGAATCCCTGCAGTCATGAAAGCTTTAAATCAAAATGTTTTGCTTTTGTTCTTTGTTGAATTCAAAGTGTTTTTTCTCTATGATCTATTTATTATGACTTAGATCTCCTTAGACAAATAGACTTCCATTCTCAATGGGCTCTTAATAATGCATTATTTGTATGTACATTGAACTTCTTTCGCACCACACATAGCCAACTGTGCTTATCGGAGGTGCGGGGCAAGGACAATAAAGTAAAAACAATGAGAAGTTCTCAAGAAATCAGTTTTCAATTTAGAAAAAAAGTGCATAGCTCCAGTGGCTTCCTAATATAGGAAGGAAAAGCGTTGCAGATGGACGCAGAAGCGCATCTGAAAGCTCTCGATGCGGTGGCCGTCTTTATGCGATGGTCAGCCAAAAGCCGCCGCTAGAATGACCGAAGTTTGTGTGCCGAGATCAGCGAGGCATTGGTGGTTCATTTGTGGCGATAACTTCGTGTGTAATGCGCGTGACATTAACAGTTAATTAACTGTGACTGGTAATTAATACATTAATCTTAACAACTCGATATCCTCCTCTCTCCAGGATAGCCAGATCCCTGTGGCCGCCTCTTGTATTCGGATGCTCTCTAAATATTATGTGTGCCGCATAGTATTCATTGTAAGGCGACGGCTCCGCGTGTCGGTGTGGGCGGGGTTGGCAGACGAGTGGGCGTGGCCTGTGGGCAGTGGGCGGAGCGGGTTGCAGAGAGAGAGGGAGGCAGCCAATCGCCGTGCAGACAGTGGCCGAGTTGGGCGTGGATAAGTGAAAGTGGGCGGGGCCGAGGGAGAATGGGGGGGGAATGCCGGTTCACAATGCGTCCTGATTGGGCCTCATAAACTCGGTAGCATTAGAACACTGGGTACGGGGACTCCTCTGCTTGCGAACGAGTTAGGTTCCAGAGGTCTGTTCGTAAGTGCATTTGTTCGTAAGTCCAAATTTAATCCTGTCGATTCCAAAAGTGTTGTACGGCATGTACACTAAATGAGAGGAATGGCTTTAAAAGTTGTATTATTTCCTGTAGATGTAGATGCCACTGCTTCTTCCTGTTCTGCAGATGCAGATGCCACCGCCGCCATCTATTGCGCGGCGGTTGAACTTTCGACTCTCGGTCCGAACATCTGCAGCTAGAAACACGGACAGGTTTGTTCGTATCTCTGAAAGTCGATCGAAAGTCGAATGTTCGTAAGTGGAGGAGTCCCTGTATTCTGTCTCCCCCCCCCCCCCTCCTATCTTCCCCCCCCCCTCTCCCCTACATGCTCAGGATCTCCTTCTGTAAGTTGGTTGTACCACCTCCTCTTCCCCAATCATCCCCGCTCCCCCCCCCCCAATTTAAAAACCCCGTTTCCCCCACCTCGTCGCCCCCCCACCCCCGCCACCGCCATCCCCAGCATTTCCGTAGCATGCTGTTGTTATTCTTCCCTCCCATTTTAAATCTTCATCTTCCCCCTAGTGCGAGGTCCTCAATAGGCCAGGACAGCAGTCCCACCCCCTTTTCCCTTCTTTTCTCTTCCTTTAGTGCGGTTCCGTTACGCCGGAATGGATGACCGCGGATTTTCTTTTTGTACCCTGTTACTGGAACTTTTCGGCGTGGCATGTCGGACTCACGTTTCGTTGTAACATAAAAAAAGCCACAAAACACTTGGGTATTCTGGGTCAGCCACTCCCCACTGCCCTCCCAAGCTGCCTCTCTCCTAAAAACCCAGGCGGAGGCGGGGGGTGCGTTGGTGACGAACGGCAAGCATTGCGCCACCGAGCCGGACGCGAACCACGCTGCCCTCACCAGCTGGCCGGCGCTGGAGTCGTAGAAGCGCAGCAGCAGCTGCATGATGGTGCTCTTGCCGCTGCCGCTGGGACCCACCAGGGCCAGGGTCTGGCCCGGGGCCACGCGCAGGCTCACGCCGCGCAGCACCTCGGCGTGCGGCCGCGTCGGGTAGCGGAAGTGCACGCCGCTCAGCTGCAGCTCCCCGTCGAAGGCGTCCTGCGGAAAGGCGGACGGGGGGAACGTCAAACGCGCAGCAAGGGGATGTTGGATATGGGACGTGAGATAAGGGGGGGGGCACGGTCCCTCAAATGCACTGCTCACGATCGTTTCCCCGACTGCGGTCGGGCCCTCGTTCGTTCACTAATTTTGAGGGTGCAATACGCCCGGCCTTTTGCACGCTGTGTGTTGTTCCTGCGTCCTTTTGAAATTCCCACTGTATTTTGGGCTTTGAAAGACAATTAACAAAATGCTTACAATAAAAGTTACGGGACACAGGAAATAGAATATGGGACACGGGACGTAGGACATACGAGACGGAACAAAGACATTAAACATGAGGCATGGGACGTGGGACGGAGGATGTATATGGGACATTGAACCTGAGGCAGACTGTGACACGTGAGAAAAGGAACATGGGATACAGGACAGAGAATGTGACACGTGACGTGGGAAATCAGACAAAGAACATTGAACACAGGACAGAAGATGTGGTGACACGGGACGTGTGACACAGGAACATGAGACGCGTAATAACGTGATATAGGACCTCGAACGGATGACATAGGAGAGGCAATGTTCGGTTCCAGGGACCAAGGAAGCAGGACACGTGGCGGTGAGGGCCAGCGAGCCTCACCGGCTGGATGCCGCCCTCGCTGTAGCTGTCAATGGCCATCTCGCGCCGCAGCAGGGCCAGGATTCGAGCCGCCGACACCTTGGCTCGGCCGTAGTTGGGCGCCATCGCCATGGCCTGGCCCACCGCCAAGGCGCCGAAAATGATGGCACCGAACACCCTGAGGGGACAGTGCGCGTCTCCATCAGCGAGTCCCCTCGCTGCGGGCGACGTCCGCTCGGTTTCCAGTCCGAGCCCTGATTCAACGATTTTCCAGGGGCCCCCCGAAGCCAATCGCTTAGATAGAAGACGCTGACGTTACACTGTTGCTTCCTCGTCAAGGGTTTTTTTCCGAAGTCTTTGACGAGATCGGACGAGGACGCGTCACAGCGAGTTCGATCAACAATAAATTGATGAATATGTAATAGTTAAATCAAAGTGGGTGACAAAGTACCTGCCTTAAGTAAGCTCGATGACCCCCCCCCGCCCCCCAAAAAAAAATCCATGGGGACTCCGTGACAACACTGGAAAAAGCTGCCCCTTCTTGTGCCACGGTGAAACAAAAAAAAACTGGGCTCGAATTAAAGCGAGAGAGGACCAGCGCCGACGATGAGCCAGGGTGATGCTGCCCCCAATAGACGCCATCACTCCTGAAAATGTTGATGCGCTCCAGAAGACGGCGATTTGTGACAGAAGATCAACAGCCAGGCACAGATCTGAGGCAGTGGATAACCAGCAGGGGGTCGTCCCGGTGAGACGTGTGGACAAGGCTAGATTAAGTTTGAGGAAAGCTCGGGGTTGTTATGGTCTGGGAGCCCCCTCTTTATTTATTCAGTTCCTTCCTTCGGCTGTTTTACCATTACCCGCGCCCAGTGCCAAACACTCCACTGATATTCTCCCCGCTGATTTCAGTTTTTCAACTGAGATGTATGCGAATTGCCATACAGCTAAATTGGTTCAGTGACAACGAACAGATACATTTTAATTTTGGCACAAAGGTTGGCAGTAATACACACGGTGGTGCCGTGTTAAATTACCGAGTGCAATGGGTGCCCAACTATTCCTGGACGTGTGCGACCACTGTCAGCCCTCTAAAACGTTCTTCTCACGGACCACCACTCGGTTTTGTGAAAGAAAAAAAAATCACCGCAACAGCTCCGCAGACCACTTCCCGCTAGTGTCCTTGCGGAGCACCAGTGGCCTACAGGCCACGTGTTGGGAACAACTGCTCTCTAATGCCACGGATCAACTGTTAGAAAGTGGAATACAATTATTGAGACCGGGAATGGGGAAAAGATTTTGAGGCCCGGGCATCAAACTAAACTAAATTATTTTTTTAATTTTACTAGGCAAGGCCTGCTGAGCTGTATAGATCTTTTTTTCATCTGAAGCGACCTGGCCACAAATGATGCGGCTCAATGATGTGGTTCAATGACGCGGCTGATCACGTGGAAATTTATAGCGGCCAAATAATTTAAAAGCACGTTGATTCTAAATTGTGGAAGGAAAACCAGAGGACCTGGAGAAAAATGCACGCAACCACAGGGAGAGAGACACGCAAACTCCAAGTATACAGCAGGCGTCAGTGTCGGGATTGAACCCACGACCTCCTGTATACGAGGCGGGGTAGTTAACATCTCGGTACCGTAGCGCATGCCAGCAGCCCCTAAATGCCCAGCGGACGCATTGATCAGCCTCCGGGTGCGTGCGAGTGTGCGTGCGAGCATGCGAGCGTGGATGCAGACTGACTTGTAGACGTCCTGGAAGGTGAGCTCCCCCTGGGCCACGAGGAACCCGCCCAGGCGGAAGACGGCCGCGTACGCGAAGCACAGGATGCCCTGGGTGAAGCCGAAGGTGACGCTGAAGAGGTAGCCCCTGCGCTTTATGACCCTGCAGGCGGCGCGGCGGGGGAGAGGGGCGTGCAAAGTTCGCGATCAAAACGGTGGGGGAGAGGGGGATTGCAACATGTGTGAAGTATTCCCTCGTAATTCACGAACTTGCTATCCGCAATTTTGGCTATCCGCGAATCGCATCTGGAACTCTGCATCGAGAGAAATAAAAGAAAGTGATGATGCGAGCATTATAATTTAAGGTAAGTTCATTCATAAACTATTATTTAATCAATCTTGACTTAAAGCTTTTGTGACTGCAGGAATTCATATTCTTTGGGTCTTTCGGTAAAGTCACGTACATGGTTCAAAGAAAATAACAAAAACCAATGACGTTTCGATCACAACACAAGCGATCATCATCAGTAGGAAAACAGAGGGGAAAAGCTGCTGAGGCAGACCGTTTTATAGGTTTAAAATGGGTGCAGCCCAATGGTCATAAAGTCAGCGGGGCTAGTGATGTTATTGTGAGAAATTAGCATGTTAATGTAACTAAGCGACATGTCTCGGACCGTGTTCGTGAGCATAAGGCAATTTGAAACACGGTAGGACCGACACGTCGGCCGTGGCTAATCATTGTTTTAATGCGGTTGGCTCACACGAAATTGATTTCTCTAAGACGAAGGTACTTTGTAAGCCCACTGGCTATCAACAAAGATTTGTTCATGAAGCCATCCACATATAGAGACACAGACACAATTTCAACCGAGAGGATGGGTACAAACTTAGCAATCATTGGAAGGACATCATCAACCAGTTTAAGTCATAACTGGATGTGATGTTCCCATCCTGCTACCTTGAGATGTTAGTTGTTATTTTCCAATTTTACATTAACAGGTTAAGTGTCTCACACCAACACAGCTACCTCCGCGCGCCGACCTCAACGCGGCGGTGGCTCTGCGATCTCCCATTAACATGCTAATCCCTCACATTAAAATGTTAATCTCTCGCATTAACATGCTAATCTCTCACAATAACATGCTATTATCTCACATTAGCATGATAATATCTCACATAAACGTGCTAATGCTAATCTCTCACGTAAACATGCTAATCTCTCACATAAGCATGCTAATATCTCACATTAACATGCTAATCTCGCGCATTAACATGCTAAGCTTTCACATCAACATGCTAATCTCTCACAGTGACATGCTAATCTCACATTAACATGCTAATCTCTCACATTAACATGCTAATACCTCACATTAACATGCTAATATCTCACATTAACATGCCAATATCTCACATTAACATGCTAAGCTCTCACATAATCATGCTAATCTCTCACATTCACATGCTAATCTCTCACATAAACATGCTAATCTCTCGCGCTAACATGTTAATCTCTCACATCAACATGTTAATCTCTCACATCACCATGTTAATTTCTCACATTAACATCACTAGCCCCACTCACTTCGTTTATGACCCTTGGGCTACACCCATTTTAAACCTATAAAACAGTCTGCTTTTAGCAGCTGTTTTCCTCGTTTGTGTTGTGATCGAAACGTCAGTTTTTGGTTTATTTTATTAATTTGAACCTATCTACGTGACTTTACCGAAAGAGCCAAATAATATTATTTAATACTTTAACATTTATTTAATGATAACCAATAAAAAATAGTTATGTTATTAAATTTTTCATGTATTTGAAACGTTTATTTATTTAAGGTAATTCAATCAAAGTTTTTCGTAGGCCACCATCATCCGCGAAATTTGCCATTCACGAGCATCTCTGGAACGTATCCCTCGCGAATAACGAGGAGATATTGTACGTATGTTGAACTTCTTTCGCACCGTGCGTAGCGAACTATGCTAATCGGAGGTGCGAAAGAAATGTGTCTTTAATTTAGATTCAAATGTGCACAAGTGCGAGCGAAGAGTATTTGGTTACTATAAATACCCACGCGATAGGCCACTTTGTTGACCTACCATTTGCGGCCAGGTCGCTCCTGAAAAAAAACAGCCATATAGATAGCTCAGGGGGCCTTACCTGGTAAAACTAAATCAATTGCCTAGTTTAGTAGTGTGGTGGGTCGACGGTCCGCACCTGTACGGCTCGAGGAGACACTGCTCGAACATTCCGCTGAACTTCTCCTCGAGGCACAGGGACGCCACCGTCCGGATGTTCTGCACGGCCTCGGTGGAGATCTGAAGGCGAGTTCACGGCGTCGCTCCGAATGAGTCGCTCAAGAACAACAAAGTCGCCCCGACAACGCGACCCGCTGCACGAGTTCTGCCCGCGCTCTCATTTTCGACGAATTATCGTTGTTGCAGTTGCCGCAGTTCGTGGTTGTGTCTTGCTGCGCAGCTCCCCGGTGCATTTCCAGGTTGTGCCGCGTGTTGTTCGGCACCACGTCCGACGTTTCTGTTTCCGAAGAGTCTCATGCCCGACGTTTGGCCAACGTTGGCATGCAGTTGGAACCATTAGACCAACACTTCCCGATTAGCATGGTTGACTACGCACGTTGAATATTTTGTCATAAAAATAAGGGCTACACTAGTGATGTTTTTTTGTTGCGTGCGCACAGCCGTACGAGCACACTTCAATTCCCGCTCGAGCGCTCCACCATATAAATGTGGAATTTCCACCACTGACTTGGGACTGTTAAGAATACGATGAGCAATAGCTCATGCTCATTCGAGAATTCGGTGGCAGTCATTCATTTAAAATCATCATCATACACACAACATTGGCCTCACGTTGGCCAAATGTTCCACGTTTCACCAAGAAGCGTCTCGAGAGTTTAAATGTCACGATTCCACCGCCGTCGCCGCCAGCGCCACCACGTGTCCCTCCTCGCGCCGCGCGGACCGCTCACCTTGCTGGCCTGCTCGTACGCCCGCTTGATGGTGGTGGCCTCGGAGCCCTGCAGGACGCTCTGCACGAGGCCCGCGCCCACCATGAAGGGCATGAAGGCGAGCATGAGCAGCGCCAGCTTCCAGCCCACGAGCAGCGCGATCAGCAGGCCCGTGGCCAGCCCCGAGACGTTCTGCACCAGCATGCCGGCCCGCCGGCCTGTCGCCTGCACGGCACGGCGCGGTCAGCCGAAATCGTCGAACGAGCCAAGCCATCGGGAGGCGTCGACGGCACCTCCGTTTTATAAATTGGAGGGGCCAACAGAGCGTTGTGATGGCGGTGGGTGGGGGTCGGGGGAGGGGGAGAAGGGAGAGGGGGAAGGACAGGAGCGTGGGGCTGCGGTGATGCCGCAGATGTTAATTAAGAGCCAATTGGTTTCTACTGCATGGAGGGGCTGTAGCCGAGGGGATGGGATACAACGCAGCTCGGTTTAGCACGCGAGTAACGCCGATCTGCACCTCAGATTCCACTGTCATCTTTCATCACCCACCCCCTCGGCGAGAGCGTCTCACCCGCCCAGAGGGACGATCGCTTTCGTAAGCCTGCAGCACGTCGCATTTTTGTGTTGTTCGATAAACAACAGAGGCTATCGTAAGAGTTACGCGTCACATCGCCATCGCCTTCGTCGTCGACAGCGCGACGAGGGAAACTCACCCCCTGGACCTGCGCCGCGTCGGTGGACAGCTGCGCCGTCAGCGCGCCGGTGTTGTTCTTGTGATTGTCGAACCAGCTGATCTCCTGCAGAGCACGCACCAGCAACCATCATCAACCACCCCCTGCCCGCGTCATTCCTGCCAGCCGAGCGGCGTAACTTAGGGGCCGTCCATAAATGACGCCACGTGATTTTGGACGATTTTTTTTGCCCCCCCCCCCCCCCCCGTCGTCACACGGCGTCACAAAGAAGTCAGACGCCCCCTCAAATATGACGTCACAAAGCTCTGCCCCCCCAAAACCACGTTTCCATTTTGAAAATAAAACATGCTTCAAATAGCTTTAAACTATTGTCATTGTAGTGCGTATTTAATGTGGCGCTGCACTCTGATGTTGTAGGAGAAAACATTTATTAAAAAGTCTATTTAATCAAGTAGAACGTGTTGTGTATATTGATTCAAAGTTGCGCATTTTGATGTGACGTCACATTTCTCAACCCCCCCCCCTCGTCACACATCGTCACAAATGTCTGACACGCCCCCCTCCCCTCCCTGCCCGAGGGGACTCTCCCCCTCGGGGTCACCAAGAGGTTGGGGAGCCGGGAGCGCTGGCCGGTGGGTTGCCTGGGGACGCCCCCGGCAGTGCCGGTTTTTTCGGGCATTGGCGACGGAGGAATATGCCCGAGGGCCGGTAGCCACGAGTTGGGACTCGGCTCGCAAAGGGGGGGGGGGGGGGGCTGCGACGTCCGGATCTGCAGCCGGGCGGCTCCGATTGAGCCGCTCGCCCCACGCGAGGGGGGGCGGCGAGCTCGACTCTACGTACGTCGAACTTCTCTCGCACCGTACGTAGCTAATCGGGAGACGCGGTGCGATTAAGCAGCCGGAAGCTCGGCGATGGACGAACGAATGGACGCAAATCCAGAAGGCATCGCGGCTTTCAAGGACTGGAACCGTGCACGAGAGCTGGGCTCCGGCCACTCCGTGGAGGCCGCTGGCTCGTCAAGGTGGGGTCGGTCACGAGGCGCCGCCGGGCGCCAGTGTGCCCGAGTATTTAGGTTGCCGCGACGGCGATGTCCAATACGGCCTTGGTGGCTCATCGGCGGAGCGGGGCGGCTCGCGTTCGGAAACGTCGCAAGTTCAAACGCTGGTCTGGGTGTTGGCTCTCCCCATCGTCCCTCCCCGGTCGATAAAGTGAGCACCTTACCACTTTGTAGAGAAGTCAACAGTGGTTCTCCAATGGAGAGACTCACCCCCACCATAGGAACGTGGAATGTTCTGCCCCTGTCTCGAAGTTATAAGCAAGATTTCTGATCTCATATATATTTATATATCACCTCTTTTCCGAGGCATTTTGCTACAATTATACAATTGTACATAAGATGTTCGTGGTTGTGATAAAGAGCGGGGTTGTTAAGAGTGGTGGTGGTGGTGGAGTAGTTGTGACAGGAGAACAGGCGGGAGTGGTTAAGTAGGGGTTGAGGTAGTGGTAGTGATAGGGGTGGGGGTAGTGATGGGGGTGGGGGTAGTGATCGGGGTTGGGGTAGTGATAGGGGTTTGGGTAGTGTTAGTGATAGGAGTAGTGATAGGGGTAGTGATAGGGGTTGGGGTAGTGTTAGTGATAGGAGTAGTGATAGGGGTTTGGGTAGTGTTAGTGAGAGTGGTAGTGATAGGGGTTTGGGTAGTGATAGGGGTTTGGGTAGTGTTAGTGATAGGGGTAGTGATAGTGGTTGGGGTAGTGTTAGTTATGGGTTTGTAATAGGGGTATTGATAGTGTTTGGGGTAGTGATAGTGGTTGGGGTAGTGTTAGTGATAGGAGTAGTGATAGGGTTGGGGTAGTGTTAGTGATAGGGGTAGTGATAAGGGTTTGGGTAGTGTTAGTGATAGGGGTAGTGAAAGGGTATAGTAATAGCTTTCACCCTTTTATCTGGCACAAAAACTGACACCTTTATACAAGGGATCATGTTTGCAATAACCACAACACAAGCAGTCAATTTCAAGGACAGTGCATATCATTATCAGAGTTGTCTCTTTTTGTTTGCATTTTGACTGCTTGTGTTGTGGTTATTGCAAACATGATCCCTTGTATAAAGGTGTCAGTTTTTGTGCCAGATAAAAGGGTAAAAACCTATTACTATATCTTGCTACTGGCAAAGGAGGTCTCATAGTGTAGTGATAGGGGTTTGGGTAGTGATAGGGGTTGGGGAAGTGTTAGTGATAGGGGTAGTGATAGGGGTTGGGGTAGTGTTAGATATGGCGTAGTGATAGGGGTATTGATAGTGTTTGGGGTAGTGATGGGGTAGTGATAGGGGTATTGATAGGGGTTGGGTTAGTGATAGAGGTTGGGTAGTGTTAATGATAGGGGTAGTGATAGGGGTTGGGGTAGTGTTAGGGGTAGTGATAGGGGTAGTGTTAGTTATAGGGGTAGTGATAGGGGTGGTGATAGGGGTTGGGGGTAGTGATGGGGGTGGGGGTAGTGATAGGGGTTGGGGGTAGTGATGGGGGTAGTGATAGTGGTTGGGGTAGTGTAAGTGATAGGGGTAGTGATAGGGGTTGGGGTAGTGTTATTGATGGGGTAGTGATAGAGGTATTGATAGTGTTTGGGGTATTGATGGGGTAGTGATAGGGGTGGTGATAGGGGTTGGGGTATTGATAGCGGTTGGGGGTAGTGATGGGGGTGGGGGTAGTGATAGTAGTTGGGGTAGTGTTAGTGATAGGGGTAGTGATAGGGGTTGGGGTAGTGTTATTGATGGGGTAGTGATAGGGGTTGGGGTAGTGATAGGGGTTGGGTAGTGTTAATGTTCGGGGTAGTGATAGGAGTTGGGGTAGTGTTAGGGGTAGTGATAGGGGTAGTGTTAGTTATGGGGGTAGTGATAGGGGTAGTGATAGGGGGTGGGGTAGTGATAGGGGTTGGGGGTAGTGATAGGGGTAGTGATAGTGTTTGGGGTAGTGATAGGGGTAGTGATAGGGGTTGGGGTAGTGATAGGGGTTGGGGTAGTGAAAGGGGTTGGGTAGGGTTAGTGACAGGGGTAGTGATAGGGGTATTGATAGTGTTTGGGGTAGTGATAGGGGTAGTGTTAGTTATAGGGGTAGTGATAGGGGTATTGATAGTGTTTGGGGTAGTGATGGGGTAGTGATAGGAGTGGTGATAGGGGTTGGGGTAGTGATAGGGGTTGGGGGTAGTGATAGGGGTAGTGATAGTGGTTGGGGTAGTGATGGGGTAGTGATAGGGGTTGGGGTAGTGATAGGGGTTGGGTAGGGTTAGTGATAGGGGTAGTGATAGGGGTATTGATAGTGTTTGGGGCAGTGATGGGGTAGTGATAGCGGTAGTGATAGTGTTGGGGTAGTGATGGGGTAGTGATAGGGGTAGTGATAGGGGTTGGGGTAGTGATAGGGGTTGGGGGTAGTGATAGGGGTAGTGATAGTGTTTGGGGTAGTGATGGGGTAGTAATAGGGGTTGGGGTAGTGATAGGGGTTGTGTAGGGTTAGTGATAGGGGTAGTGATAGGGGTATTGATAGTGTTTGGGGTAGTGATGGGGTCGTGATAGGGGTAGTGATAGTGTTTGGGGTAGTGATGGGGTAGTGATAGGGGTAGTGATAGGGGTTGGGGTAGTGATAGTGGTTGGGGTAGTGTCAATGATAGGGGTAGTGATAGGGGTTGGGGTAGTGATAGGGGTTGGGGGTAGTGATAGTGTTTGGGGTAGTGATGGGGTAGTGATAGTGGTTGGGGTAGTGATAGGGGTTGGGGTAGTGTTAGTGATAGGTGGTAGTGATAGGGGTATTGATAGTGTTTGGGGTAGTGATGGGGTAGTGATAGGGGTTGGGGTAGTGATAGAGGTTGGGTAGTGTTAATGATAGGGGTAGTGATAGGGGTTGGGGTAGTGTTAGGGGTAGTGATAGGGGTAGTGTTAGTTATAGGGGTAGTGAAAGGGGTGGTATAGGGGTTGGGGGTAGTAATGGGGTAGTGATAGGGGTATTGATAGTGTTTGGGGTAGTGTTAGGGGTAGTGATAGGGGTAGTGATAGTGTTTGGGGTAGTGATGGGGTAGTGATAGGGGTTGGGGTAGTGATAGGGGTTGGGTAGGGTTAGTGATAGGGGTAGTGATAGTGTTTGGGGTAGTGATAGGGTAGTGATAGGGGTAGTGATAGTGTTTGGGCTAGGCCTGGTGATAGCTGGGGGGCGGGGACAGGGAGTAGCAGTAGCAAGATGAGCTCAGGAGAAGAGATGGTTGACTACGTATGGTGCGAAAGAAATTCAACACACATACATACAAGGGAGGAGATGAGTACCAACGCAATCCTCAGGTTAGTAGGAAACCACTCTGCCTTTTGCAGCAGAGCTCAGGGGCGTGTTCACAGATCACTCTGTGTGTGTGGGATGATGCCGATGATGACGACGACGAGAATGATGATGATGATGATGACGAGCCGTGCGCTCTGTGGCTGCGGGGTCGCACCTGTCTGACCATCGCTTTGAAGCTCCGCTCACGGAGCCTCCGTGTCAGCACCTCGCCGGACTTCCCAAACGTGTAGCCCTGCGGGGCGCAGCACACCAAACCGCCCGGCCGTTATGCTTAAACGGCCCGAGTTCGATTCCCGGCCACGGCATAGTGTCAGTGGTGAGCGATAATAAAAAATCTCCCGCTCCGTCAGCACGTGTGCAATGCGCGAACGCATGCTTCCTACCTGTATGATGTTCACCACTAAGGCTGACCCTCCGATGGCGATGAACATGAGGCACCAGAAGACCGATTTCTCCCTCTGCTCCTCTTCCGTGGGCAGCGTGAACGTCTGGGGGTGCAGGCGGTACGACACGAGAACGCGGCTCACTCATCACCTGGTAGACAAAGTGTCCATCCGGCCCGGTGTTCCAAGATGTTATATACCTCGTCTGGTATACAGGAGGTCGTGAGTTTGACCCCTGAAGCCTGCTGTATATGAGGAGTTTGTGGTATCTCTCTCCCCATGGTCGTGTGGATTTCCCTCCACATTTAGAAACATGCATTTAGAGTATTTGGCTGCTACGATACATGTCCACGTGATAAGCCACTTCACTGAAATATAATTTGTGGCCAGGTCGCTTCTGAAAAAGAGCTACATAGCTCAGTGGGCCTTACCTCGTAAAATGAAAATAGTTTAGTTCAGTTTATCAAATTCCAGTGGAGTGCGGCGGTTGACTCAGGCCATCATCCCTCTGGGGGGGGGATCGTAAAATTAGTACCACTTTGTGGGCAAGTGAACAGTGATTGTCCTATGGATAGACTAACATCTGCCAAGTGAAATGTGGAATATTCACCACTTCTTCGGGGCTTCTGAACTGCAGATGGGGCAACCTGTTCAATGCTCCTGTGAGCAGGAAATCACTTGGACTTTGACTGCAAAGTGGCAAGGGGAGAGATACGCGTGTGCTGAGGAATTACGCCGAAAGAAGACAGAGGGACACGTGGATTCGAGAACATGCACAAACTATCGACGTGACATTGAGCGTTAAGAAGAGTAAGTGGGCTTTGACAGGCTCCCGACTGAAGACGGTGGTTGGTTGGTGGCTGGCGGTCGAGGCTAGTCGAGACAGCCAAAGGAGGAGTGAACATGCTGAGAGTGCGTCCACGGCAGAGATGGAGCGATGAATTCAGGTCACCACGTACAGGTGCCAGATGGATTGCCACATCGCAAGATCGTGAGAGATCGCAAATGAGTTGTGGGGGGGGGGCTGCATCCAGCAGTGGATTGATAATGGCTGCTGCTTCTGCCGCTGATGATGATGATCTCAACGGAGTGATTACCGGGGCGCGCGCTGCAGCTCACCCCGATCAGCTCGGCGAAGATGATGGCGAAGACCGGCTGGATGGCGCCGTTCACTGCTGCCACCATGATGCCCAGCAATATGTATGGCCACTCGGGAGCGTTGAGCCTCAGCATCTGCAGGAAAGAGATCCCTCGCGCCGCCTTCTTCTCATCCTGTCAAGAAAAACCGCCGTCATCGTAGTCATCATCACTGTCGTCATCACTGTCGTCATCGCTGTCGTCATCGCCGTCGTCATCACAGTCGTCATCACTGTCATCGCAGTCGTCATCACTGTCGTCATCACAGTCGTCATCGCTGTCATCGCCGTCGTCATCACTGTCGTCATCACAGTCGTCATCACTGTCGTCATCACAGTCGTCATTGCTGTCGTCATCACTGTCGTCATCACAGTCGTCATCGCTGTCGTCATCGCTGTCGTCATCACTGTCGTCATCACAGTCGTCATCACTGCCATACAGTAGGTTGTCTCTGGTGTAGGCCAATCAGTTTGTAAGACAATGCATATATATTTTCAGAGCATGTTTGTTTTGCATGTTTTTTCACAGGTATGTGTGGTTAATGCAGACTTGATGCCTTGCAATAGGTGTCTCCATTTGGTGTTTGAGCATCTTAACATCTCCTGTTTCATTGCCAGAAAGGGTGAAGCCTCTTTCTTATTTTTTTCAACCAGGACAACATGGTGAGCTGGCACCCCCTCTCTCTCTTCCTCCATCAGCCCCGTCAACTCACGTGAGATTTGTCTTATATTATCTAAGATTTAAGATATTTTGACGAAAGAATTACATTCATAGGAGGACAAATTGAAAAGTGAGAGCAATTTTAAATTAACCGTAGACAGTCGTCTGTATTCGTTACTCCCACCTCTTCAGTGTCGCCATCTAATATTATTTCTACTACGTCTTCCCAACCTCTTCTGACATTTTAAACCAATTCAATGTTTATTTCATTTCATGTAAAAATAATCCCGTGTAGCCAGTAACCCAGCTAGTTTCTGTGGCGAGAGCCCACAGTAGCCACTAACAATAGAGCTACTGTCGGGGTGGGGAGGTGCCCAGCCAGCAGCCAGCCAGAAAACTCGAGGCATAGATTATTTGTATGTATGGATGTATGTTGAACTTCTTTCGCACCGTACGTAGCCAATCGTGCGATTTGTAATCGTAGTACGACTGGGAAACAGCAGAACAGAGTTCTGCGCCCCGTCCCTCGGCGCATACCGCCCCGCATCAACGGCTCGGCAGAGTCACCAACCTCCTCCTCCTTCTGCTCCTCCTTGTCGTTGCCATCTCCAGCCGCCACCGTGAGCTCCTCAATCCCCTCGCTATCGTCCGGTGAAGCCCCCTTGTCCGTGCGAGCGACGGGCGCGGGGATGTCCGTGAGCGCCGGGCGGTCGCCGGGACCCTCTTCCGCGCTCGCATCGCGGTTCTCACGCGGCGGCTCAGCGACTCCACCCGCGTCCTTCCCGCTCGACTACAAACGTGAATGGTAAGCACAGATCATCGTCAGTGTCGCCGTCGTCGTCATCGGGTTCGATGCATCCACTGCCGGACTAAGGTCTCTCCGAGATGTCACCATCCATCACGGTCCTGCGATGCGGCAATGCTTCGAGCTGCAGCTCGCGAGTTGGTTTCACCGCTCCATCTCCGAAGTGGAAGTCCTCTCGGGAGAGTCCCCTCCCCCTGATCGCCACTCCGGCATGAGGCTTCCCGTCTCAGCCGGCGATGTGCCCTGCCAATCACTGGACATGGGAGCTTTTTTTCTTGTTTACCACGTCTCACCGTGCTGGTTGAGTGTGGGTTTAGGGAGGGAGGTCGCGGAAAGGACCGACTCGTCGATTTAACCAAGCTGTGAAGTTTTTGGGTTCGTGTATACGTTATAGGGAGGGAGCGAGGGAGGTGGGAGAGAGGAAGGGAAACAAGGGAGGGAGGGAGGGAGGGAGGGGGGGGGAAGCGAGCGGAAGGACCAACTCATCGGTTTATCTGAGCTGTGAAGTTGTTGGCTTCGTCTAAAAGTAAATCATGTATTTAGAGGGTGGGGGGGGGGGGGGGCGCACCTGCGCCTGGGTGAGGTTGAAGTACATCCCCCGGCGCTGCAGCAGCTCCTCGTGGCTGCCCATCTCGGCCACGGCGCCGCCCTCCAGCACGGCGATGGTGTCGGCGCTCTGCACCGTGGAGAGGCGGTGAGCGATCACCAGCGTGGTGCGGCCACGGCGAGCCTGTGTGCACGCACGACGGGCGGTCGGTCAGCGTCCGCCGTCCGTCGTGCGTGTCAGTCATATGGGGGCTGTTTAACCTTTATCATTAACTATTAGCAGCGTTGAAGCTGTCGGGGCAGAGTGTGCCCGCCGATTTCCTTTTTTGCTTGGGACTGGGTCCCAAAATTTTGGGCGATGCTTTTGATCACTTTGGTCAGTTTTGAAAAAAATAAATATATGTATATAGAGGATAAGTCCCCATAGCAACGCAACTTTGCGCTCGAGTTTTGGTCATATTGGATCATCTTTACGGGAGTTATCGCGTGTGTCCCGCCAACCCTCGCGCTGTAACGGATGTACAGACAGAGCTAATGCCTAAACGTTTTTTTTAATTGCAGTTAAGCAATGCGAAGTAGAAACGATGGAAACGAAACGGCAAACACGGGACGAAAAAAACAATCGTACCGTGAATCAGATCGCTACCCGCTGGTCGTGAAAACTCGGCAAGTCGCGTTGAGGCCGAATCACCATAATAAACATCGGCGACGATTTTGCATTGCGGCATTTCAAGCGGGAACCAGAGCAACTCTAACAGCGCCGTCCGTCGTTGGCCTGACGGACGTTTTGAGGTTCTTGGGCCTGTGCCCGACAAAGTGGGTGGCGTACCCAGTCAGGGGCAAGGGGGTCGAGGGCAAGGAGGTCAAGGGCAAGGAGGTCGAGGGCAAGGAGGTCGAGGGCAAGGAGGTCGAGGGCAAGGGGGTCGAGGGCAAGGAGGTCAAGGGCAAGGAGGTCGAGGGCAAGGAGGTCGAGGGCAAGGAGGTCGAGGGCAAGGGGGTCAAGGGCAAGGAGGTCGAGGGCAAGGAGGTCGAGGGCAAGGAGGTCGAGGGCAAGGGGGTCAAGGGCAAGGAGGTCGAGGGCAAGGAGGTCGAGGGCAAGGAGGTCGAGGGCAAGGAGGTCGAGGGCATGGAGGTCGAGGGCAAGGAGGTCGAGGGCAATGGGGTCAGGGGCAAGGAGGTCAGGGGCAAGGGGGTCGAGGGCAAGGAGGTCGAGGGCAAGGAGGTTGAGAGCAAGGAGGTCAGGGGCAAGGAGGTCAGGGGCAAGGTGGTCGAGGGCAAGGAGGTCAGGGGCAAGGTGGTCGAGGGCAAGGGGGCCGAGGGCAAGGCAGGTGGTGTACCCGGTCGAGGGCGGCCTGCACAATGCCCTCACTGGCCGTGTCGAGCGCCGACGTAGCCTCGTCCAGTACGAGCACGCGCGGGTCGCGCACGAGCGCGCGCGCGATGGCGATGCGCTGCTTCTGCCCGCCGCTCAGCTGCGTCCCGCGCTCCCCCACCGGCGTCTCGAACCCCTGAACAGCAAAACGAGCATGGCATGGCCATCACGATCGTCGTCATTGCTATCGTCATCTCTATCGTCATCTCTATCGCTGTCGTCATCGCCATCGCCATCATCATAATCATCGACATCGTCATCATCGTCATCGCCATCATCGACATCGTCATCATCGTCATCGCCATCATCGACATCGTCATCATCACCATCATCGTCATCATCGACATCGTCATCGTCACCATCGTCATCATCGACATCGACATCGTCATCGTCATCGTCATCATCGTCATCATCGACATCGTCATCATCGTCATCATCGTCATCATCGACATCGTCATCATCAATATCGTCAACACCGTCATCGTCATCACCATCGTCATCATCATCATCAACGAGTACGGAATTCCCTCGTTCTTCACGAACTTGGTATCCGCAATTTTGGCTACTCTCAAATCGCATCTGGAACTCTGCACAGACTGCATCGAGAGAGACAGACAAAGAGATGAATAAAGTGACGAGATAAAGTGCTACCGTCTCCCACGGTTTACTCGACGTTGGCAGTCCCTATGCCAGGCACCTGCACGCGATTGTTCCAGGCTTTGTCTGCCACCCCGTCGTTCATCTTGACTGCGGGCCACGGTCCCCGTCTGGCCGCGATGCGTCCTGCCCAAGCCCACTCTTACTTTCATAAACAGTCAATGTGAGATCTCTCTAACCAGTGGCATTTTACATACTTGCTGTCATTATTATTGCTCATAATAAAGGTTTCTGGGTTAGATCACGTTATTTATAAATGTGTCGCAGACCCTTCACCACCCGACACGGCCAATCAGTAAACAAATGTGTCACCTTCTTTGGTTCTTTCGGTAAAGTCACGTAAAATGAGAATAAAATAATAAATTGATAATATAAAATAACACAATAATATTCTCACGACGTTTCGGCCACAACACAAGCGGCCTTCATCAGGTGAAGGGACGAGACTGTCTGGTAGGACAGCGCTGGAGTGAAAGAGCCACGTTCAGATCACGACCTTTAAGCTCTGCGAGAGGAAACAAAGCGCCTTGACAAAGGAATTATCAATTTATTATTTTATTCTCATTCTACGTGACTTTACCGAAAGAACCAAAGAAGATGAATCATTGCAGTCACGAAAGCTTTAAATCGAAATTCAAATGTGTCACGTTGACAAAGGACAAATACTCTTTGGTTCTTTCGGTAAAGTCACGTAGGTAGAAAAATAAAATAAAACAAAAAATAATAAAATATCACGTCCTCAGGCGGAAAAAAATATAACCCAGCAGTGGAACTGCTGATCGAAACGTCTTGAAATATTATTTTTTGTTCCATTTTATTTTTCTACCCACGTGACTTTACCGAAAGAACCAAGGAGCATGGATTCCTGCAGTCACGAAAGCTTCAAATCAAGATTAAAAGACAAATAGTTCACTACTTTAGCCCACCGGTGTGTTGAAGAGTGAATCCACAACATTTACAATTTTGAGTACGACGTTTCGCTGGTAATTACATCCAGCATCGTCGTCAAAACGCCTCGCAGATCCGCCGCTACTACAGTCTGTTCTCCTGTCGCGCGCGTGGATTTCACCACGCGAATTAGATACGACGTGATGTATGTATGAGGACACACATTTTTGTCATAACACGGATGCGAATTGTACGGCGCGTGAGTAGGGAATAAGCGGTCGTACGGCTGCCTCGGCGTGGCATCACACGAGGCATTGGGATGCTGCTGGATGCTTCGAGGTGCTACCCACCACGCGCCTTGGTCTTTGTTCGGCCTGCGTACGCATCTCACGTCTGTTATCAGGGACTGCGCTTTACATTACATATTCTTCATTACGACGCAATTTACCCGTAACGCAGTGTTCTTCGGGAACGCAAGCTACCACCGCGGCATAGACTGCATCGACAGCTATTCTCGATTGCCACGATTCCCGCCGGAGTCGGAGCGGTGGCGGCAGTGGCGGCATCACCTCCGGCAGCGCCGCGATGAAGTCGTAGGCGTAGGCCTCACGCGCCGCTCGCTCCACGTCGCCGCGGCTCACGCCCTCGCGCCCGTACGCGATGTTCTCGGCGACGGAGCAGCCGAAGAGCACCGGCTCCTGCGACACGACCGCCACTCGCTCCCGCAGCCAGTGCACGTTCAGCTCCCGCACGTCGTCGCCGTCCAGCAGGACCTGAGGGCCGCCCCGTCGCGCAAACGGCGAGTCAAGCGGCGGCGGACGCAGCGACGCTCGGACCACGTGTGGGCCGGGGAAGTTTTTATTTTTTACCAAGGACATGTTTAGCAATTGCCAGGCATGTAAATTCTGCCACAGCTTAAGTGTGTATTTATTCAGAGATATGTCAAGCAGTGTGAGGGAACAAAAGGGAAATGTTTTGACCTGCAGTGCGGTGATGGACACGTTTGTCACGGCCCTCAGATGTGTGGGGGCCTCAATGAGGGCTAAAGGGGCACCAGACGGGGCCTCATCCGGCATATGGCCCCAAGCCTCCAAAATGCTCTTCATGGCCACTGGTTTTGTCTAAATATCCGTCTGAGGACGATTTTCTCATTTTCACACAAAAAACTCCCTACCAATCGCTAGGAAATCATTCACACGGCTTAGCAATATGAAAATCAATACCCAGATCTTTAAAGACTTTTTGAGCGAAATTGTAAAATGAATACTCTCAAAACATAATTATTTTCTCTATGCTGCATACCCAAGCAATCACTGCACGCGTGTTAGAACACGTGCGCACGTGTTAGAACACGTGCACACGTGTTAGCACACGTGCCTACAGCATAACAAACCTGTCCCTTTATGGCTCCCTTAATAGAATGGCTTTGCCAGCTTGTTTAATGTAATATTCTGAAGTCTCACATTTGGTGGTGGTGCACTCCCTCAACGGAGGAACAGCAAAACTACACAAACTCCTTCTCTCCTGAAGCACCCTCATCACGGCAAGCAGAGCTCAATATTGGCATTGAGCTCCTGAACATATTGCCATGTGCAAGAAGAGTGATAGTGGCGGCAGTGGCGATGGTGGTGATGATGGCTGTGGTGATTGTGGTGGCGGCGATGGCGGTGGGGGTGACGGTGGTGATGGAGATTGTGGTGGTTATAGTGGTGGCGGTGATTGTGGTGGCGATGGTCATGTCGGTGGTGATAGCGGTGGAGGTGGTGGCCGTGGTTGGGGCAGCTCGTACCTGCCCCTCCTGGGGATCGTAGAGTCTCTGCAGCAGCTGCACGCAGGTGCTCTTTCCACAGCCGCTGGGCCCCACCAGCGCCACCGACTGTCCCGGCCGCACCTCCAAATCCAGCCCATTCAGAACCTGACACAAGCCACAGTCGTCTTCGAGAAAACTCAGACTTGTTTGACCATACTTCACCATATGGGACCCTTTCGCCAGTATCAAACTTATGAAGAAACAAGAATAGGCGTTAAATTTTGACTTCAAACTTTCGTGACTGCAGGAATTCATATTCTTTGGTTCTTTCGGTGAAGTCACGTAGATAGAAAAATAATAATAAAGTTAATAAAAATAAATTAATTTAATTTTAAAAAACCAGGACGTTTCGATCGGTTGTGTTGCCATCGAAACGTCGTGGTTTTTATTTTTATGAGATTTTTATTTTATTTTTTATTTGTATTCACTTTATTGTTATTTTTCTATCTACGTGACTTTACCGAAAGAGCAAAAGTATAAGAATAGGCGTTTACCCTTTTCTGGCAATTAACGAGGTGTCCAAACACAAAATCGATATACCTATTTCAAGGCATTGAGTCTGCATCAGCCACACATACTTGCGGCAAAACATGCAAAACAAAGACGCTCTGATAATATACGCATCTTAACAACAGTGTTATCTCCAGATAGGGCAAACCCTATTGTTATCATCCATCATGCTTCACCACTCTGGTCGATGAGGGTTAGTGATTGGGGAGCTATGGGGGAGGGGCACGGTGGGGTGGGGGTTTGGATGACACTGAGAAGTAATGGCAGACATGACCGGCAAGTGAGTTCGGGTCACAGAGTTCACTGTGACTCTCTCACCCAGTGGTACACATTTCAGTGTCTCTCGAGGAGTCAATGAACTGTGGAATTGACCTCTGACTGGAGTTCGAACTTGTGGCTTTATGATTGAGGGCCCCATGCTCTTACCACAGTACCACAAATGCCGAATGTATTATTTGGTAGACGTCATCGTGTTTCATCGTCGTAGTTGAACCCGTCTATCTTACCTGCTGCCATATGGATGAGAAACATGGACACTGACAAAGAAAATGGAACTAAAACGCGTAGATTTACTGTGAAGCGTGGAGAGGATGCACGATTGGAATGATACGAGAGACAGGAAGAGGAACACGTGGTCTAAAGCAGGGGTGGACAACCTGTAACAGAGCTAGAGCCAAAAAAACCGCACCAACTCCACCCCAAACCACCCACTCCACCCCAAACCACTCACTCCACCTCAAACCACCCACTCCACCCAAGCCACTCACTCCACCTCAAACCACCCACTCCACCTCAAACCACCCACTCCACCCCAAACCACCCACTCTACGCCTAAGCACCCACTCCACCCCAAACCACCCACTCCACCCTAAACCACCCACTCCACCTCAAACCACCCATGCCACCCCAACCCACCCACTCCACCCCAAACCACCCACTCAACCACAAACCACTCACTCCACCCTAAACCACCCACTCCACCTCAAACCACCCACTCCACCTCAAACCACCCACTCCACCTAAAACCACCCACTCCACCTCAAACCACTCCACCCCAAACCACCCACTCCACCCCAAACCACCCACTCCACCCCAAACCACCCACTCCACCTCAAACCACCCACGCCACCCCAAACCACCCACTCCACCTCAAACCACCCACGCCACCCCAAACCACCCACTCCACCTCAAACCACCCACACCACCCCAAACCACCCACTCCACCTCAAACCATCCACCGACCTTAACCATCCACCCACTCCAAGCCACCCCACCCATCATTCCCCCGCAACTTGTTGTCCTTCCTCCTCACCTCCGATGAGGACGGTTGGATACGTATGGTGCTAAAGAAGTTCAACATCAATACATTCACCCACCCCATACCACCCCACCCACCCCAAGACACCCCGACCGTCGCACCTGCACGTCGGGGCGAGTCGGGTAGCTGAACTTGAGGGCCCTGAAGCGGATGTGCCCCTGGGTGGACGAGGGCCGGCGCCCCGACTCGGCGGCGCTGTCGATGGCCGGCGTGCGCTTGATCATCGCCAGCACGGGGGTGGCGGCGGCACGGGCCGTCGAGATGTACTCCATCTGGCTGGCGGCCTCCCCCAGCGAGGACGCGCCGATCAGCACCGAGAAGAACACCTGAGTCGACACGCAGCGGGGGGGGGGGGGGGACGGCCGGGAAAGGAGCAGGAAAAAAACAACCGCTGGTGACCATGGGCACTCGTCGCTTACGAACGCCCGTGGTTGACGCTTTTGGTGGCGCATTAGCGTCTCTCGAGTGGACTGCGAGGCCGGATCGGCGTGGAAAATCCTGACCTGCGGCGCCGAATTCACGGCCCAACTCGGCTTGAATAGCCGCACACGTGCAAAGGCGCAACTCTGGTTCGGGCTCAGGGTTACGGTTCGAGTTTATTTTGTTTAGGCAAGTGGGAACTCGAGCAACCAGGATATATAGTCTTGTGTGCGAGAGGGACTTGGGCTCACCAACTTGACAAAAGCCAAACAAATAAAAACAATACATTTTCGTCACCTCTCAAAAACTGCGGCGTGTTTCTTCGGGGAGAGTACACTCATACTCGCGAAACCCAGACAAAGTGATGCTTTATATCTGTGCGTGTTTGTGCCCCAGTGAAACGCGGCACAAGAGCATTGCGCGCACACGGGGCGAGTACAGCGGCGTAGCGTGGCTCGCATGGGCCCCCCGATGCTGGAAATGAAATGGGGCCACCCGCCCGCCCCTCCCCCCCCCCCCATCTACGTGGCCCGGCGCCTACGCACTCCCCCGGCCTGTCGGCCCCGGTGTGCACAGTTGCTCCGCCCTGCACGCTCGACAGCCGCGGCGGCACTTGGGGGTCGGGCGGCTCGGCTCACCGTGATGAGCGTGCCAACCGTGTAGTCGTCGCTGTTTGGGTCCAGCACCAGCGTGGTGCCGTACCAGAACGCGAGGCCGTACGTCCCGTACACGACCAGCATCGTCATCCCGATGCCGAAGCCGTTGATGAAGCTCTTGCGCAGCCCCATCTTGCTCGCAGGCGCCAGGCTCCGGCTGTACCTGTGGTGGGATGGGTGGGGGTGGGTGGGAGCGACGATTTAGTGGGGGGGGGGGGGGGGGGAAAGCTGTAGCTGATGAATTCACAAATAATGCGGCCACCAATCAGGATTGGTTTTGGTGCGTAGCGGTGGTGGTGATCGTGTTAATCGGTGTGACGACGATGCATGGAACGAAAGGGACAGATAGGCGTTGAGGTTAGGGTTAGGAGTGGAGATTGACTGAAGCAGAAATTTGTTTTTGCAGCTGCCTGTGATTAAACTGGGTCTCAATGTCGAGTGAAGTGAGTGTCTCAGCCCCAGTTAGCAATGACTGCACGCAAAAACCATCAAATTTAATTTGGCGATGCTCTTAAATGGGATAAATTGCAGCTCTGAGACGTAAAATACGTCTTCATGGCGACTGTGATTCAAAGTGGCAGGGTGCGAGAAAATATGCTGCCCTCTACTCGGTGGACCAGGGATCAATTGAAGGGATCTGAGAGATATCTGTGTGATATCCGCTTCTGTGGGCCATTCTCAAACGCGAAGGGTTGCACTCCTGTGCAAGAGACCCGAATGGATTCACCTCATGACATGACACCGATAACACAATCGCGATGAAATTGAGGGAAACGTTTTGAGAAAAAAGATAGCACAGTAGTGATAACGAATGCAGTCCGATATTGTATAGAGATGTTCGCTGTAATTTTGCAACACCAACGATGCATCTCTCACCGCTCCACCTCCCGCGCCTCCCCTCCGAACGCCACGACGGTGCGGATGTTGGAGAGAACCTCGCTTGCGATGGCTCCCGCCTGCCCGTACGCCGCCAGCTCCTTCCTGCTCAACGCCGTCGACGCCTGCAGCGTGCCGTTGAGACGGGATGGGACGGGATGAGATGGGGTGAGATGGGATGGGATGAGATGGGATGGGATGAGATGGGATGGGATGAGATGAGATGGGATGAGATGGGATGGGATGAGATGGGATGGGATGAGATGGGATGGGATGAGATGGGATGGGATGAGATGGGATGAGATGGGATGAGATGAGATGGGGTAAGATGAGATGGGATGGGACGGGATGAGATGGGATGAGATGGGACGGGATGAGATGAGATGGGATGAGATGAGATGGGATGAGATGGGATGGGATGAGATGGGATGAGATGAGATGGGATGAGATGAGATGGGGTAAGATGAGATGGGATGGGACGGGATGAGATGGGATGACGTTGGAATGGGATGGAATGGGATGGGACGAGATGAGATGGGACGGGATGAGATGGGATGGGATGAGATGGGATGAGATAGGATGAGATGAGATGGGATGGGACGGGATGAGATGGGATGAGATGGAATGGGATGGAATGGGATGGGATGAGATGGGATGAGGGCCGCCAAACATTTTAAACGGTTGGGGTTTTGACAGCGTGATGGGGGTGTTTTCACATTTGTGTATTGTCGGCGGCCCCATGTTAGGGTTCGCACTAAAGGCCACTGGGGGACGCCAGTGGCCCACGGGCATTTCAACGAAGAACACTCATGTATTCCTATATGAATAAAATAATGCTCAACTCTTTTCCGATTCACTGGAAGATGAAGGCCTCCACATTCCGTGTCAATCACTCGTCAGTGTTAGCTGGTGTAGTCTAAGGAGTCCAAGGCAAGTTGAGGCTATCACCCACCACTCATAATAGCCGTGGTGGGAACTCAAAGCAGGGGTCGCCGGATTCATAGCGCAGCACGCTCACCGCTACGCCAACTGCTCCACACCCATATTCTTTGGTTCTTTCGGTAAAGTCACGTAGGTATAAAATAAAACAAAATAAATTAAATCACGATGTTTCGGGCGCAACACAAGCGTCCGTCATCAGGTGGGACAACCACAGCAAGAAACAATTGCTGAAGTGGGCAAAAGGGCTGCTGTAACAAGAGGCTATATAGGTAAGAGAGGGGGGGATGGTGGATTATAAAATAAATAAAACGAGATGAGGGCTTTGCCATCACAAAACCAAAATAAATAAAGAACGCTGCTTCAGAAGGCTATTTGCCTTTCCAATATAAACGTTATTTTACTTTTTTATTTCTTTATATTTGGCTGGGTAAAACACACCCTTGAGTATTCTTGGTTCTTTCGGTAAAGTCACGTAGAAGGAAAACAATAAAATAATACAAATATAAACCAAGAATATGAATCCCTGCAGTCACGAAAGCTTTAAAACACCCTTGAGTGTTTATTTTGGTGTTACATTTACCCACAACCACCCAAGACGGTTCCCCTAATAAATCTGGTGAAAGCGCGACTCTCGCGCAGACGCCACGGCGACCAAGGATCGCACAAACTTTGATAAACGCCGGGCGGTGATACGGTGTTTTGAGAAAGCGGCTTCTCCAATGTCACCCCGACTGACGTGGAGCCTTGAGGAACCCGAGCTCTGCCCTTGGACAAACGGGTGGCCCACTGCATCATTGTCGTGACCGTATCGCCCGGAATGTCTACATCACTGTCACCTCGACATCTGCGAGTCGTGGCGCCATGGGCCAGGGGCAGGCACGTCGAAGTTAGGACGTGGAGGGTGGGGGGGGGTGGTGATGGGTGGGGGGAGGTGGGGGGGGTGGTGGGGAGAGGAGCAGCGGGGGGGTAGAGTCCGACCCGCGAATGGTTCCCAGTGGCTGTTGACGCCTCGGTGGCGAGATGTTGACTCCCTCGCCTGGTATGTAAGAGGTCGTGGGTTCGAACCCGACCCTGACGCCTGCTGCTGTATATTTGGAGTGTGCATTTGGCTATCCCCATGGTCGTGTGGATTCTTCCCTGAGTCCTGCGGGTTTTCCCTCCACATTTATAAACATGCTTTTCGAGTATTTGGCTGCTATAAATTCTCACATCATCTCCATATTGCTGGAAGGTCTGTTCGATGGGCCAGCCATCGAGCAAAGACGGTCGCAGCATCGCGCGCTTTCAGATGCGCTTCTGCGGCCGTCTGGAATGCTCTTCCATCCGATCTTAGGAAGCCACTGGAGCTATGCACTTTTAAATCTAGATTGACAACTCATTTGGTAAAATCAGCTTTTTCTGTTTAGTTTGTGGTCCTTCCCCCGCACCTCCGATTAGCGCGGTTGGCAATGTACGGTGTGAAAGAAGCTCAATATAAATATATGATAAGCCATTTCGTTGATCTATCATGTGTGGCCAGGTCGCTTTTGAAATAGAGCTATATAGCTCAGTGAGCCTTACCTGCTAAAATAAAAAATAGATTAGTTTAATAGTTTAAAAATACTTTCATTACAAATCCACATTGAGCCGCTATGAGATCATTACTGTTGTTGTGCTATATGTAGGACTAACAAACCCTATTTAACTTTGACCAGAACTGCGACATTGTGGGTGAGAATTGGCCACAGCTAACCGTGCCGTGGGTGTCTCTTAACCACAGCTAACCACGCCGTGGGTGTCTCTTAACCACAGCTAACCACGCCGTGAGTGTCTCTTAGCCACAGCTAACCGTGCCGTGAGTGTCTCTTAGCCACAGCTAACCGTGCTGTGAGTGTCTCTTAACCACAGCTAACCGTGCTGTGGGTGTCTCTTAGCCACAGCTAACCGCGCCGTGGGTGTCTCTTAACCACAGCTAACCGTGCTGTGGGTGTCTCTTAACCACAGCTAACCGTGCTGTGGGTGTCTCTTAACCACAGCTAACCGTGCTGTGGGTGTCTCTTAACCACAGCTAACCGTGCCGTGGGTGTCTCTTAGCCACAGCTAACCGTGCTGTGGGTGTCTCTTAGCCACAGCTAACCACACCGTGAGTGTCTCTTAGCCACAGCTAACCGTGCTGTGGGTGTCTCTTAACCACAGCTAACCACACCGTGAGTGTCTCTTAACCACAGCTAACCGTGCCGTGGGTGTCTCTTAACCACAGCTAACCACGCCGTGAGTGTCTCTTAACCACAGCTAACCGTGCTGTGGGTGTCTCTTAGCCACAGCTAACCATGCCGTGGGTGTCTCTTAACCACAGCTAACCGTGCCGTGGGTGTCTCTTAACCACAGCTAACCACGCCGTGGGTGTCTCTTAACCACAGCTAACCGTGCCGTGAGTGTCTCTTAGCCACAGCTAACCGTGCCGTGGGTGTCTCTTAACCACAGCTAACCGTGCTGTGAGTGTCTCTTAGCCACAGCTAACCGTGCTGTGGGTGTCTCTTAACCACAGCTAACCGTGCCGTGGGTGTCTCTTAACCACAGCTAACCGTGCTGTGAGTGTCTCTTAGCCACAGCTAACCGTGCTGTGAGTGTCTCTTAGCCACAGCTAACCGTGCCGTGGGTGTCTCTTAACCACAGCTAACCACGCCGTGGGTGTCTCTTAGCCACAGCTAACCGTGCTGTGGGTGTCTCTTAGCCACAGCTAACCGTGCTGTGCTGTCCCCACACCCGCGACGCCTCCAGTAGCTGTGCCACTACGGCAGATGCTATGCCTTGCCAGTAGCTGTGCCACTACGGCAGATGCTATGCCTTGCCAGTAGCTGTGCCACTACGGCAGATGCTATGCCTTGCCAGTAGCTGTGCCACTACGGCAGATGCTATGCCTTGCCAGTAGCTGTGCCACTACGGCAGATGCTATGCCTTGCCAGTAGCTGTGCCACTACGGCAGATGCTATGCCTTGCCAGTAGCTGTGCCACTACAGCAGATGCTATGCCTTGCCAGTAGCTGTGCCACTACGGCAGATGTTATGCCTTGCCAGTAGCTGTGCCACTACGGCAGATGCTATGCCTTGCCAGTAGCTGTGCCACTACAGCAGATGCTATGCCTTGCCAGTAGCTGTGCCACTACGGCAGATGCTATGCCTTGCCAGTAGCTGTGCCACTACGGCAGATGCTATGCCTTGCCAGTAGCTGTGCCACTACGGCAGATGCTATGCCTTGCCAACGCGTGTTGCAATCGCTCGGCTAGATTCGTGCACTGGAGTCTTGCGACATTGCCCGAACACGTTGCCGGCGAAGGTCAAGGCATCGGCTGAGCTAAGGTATAAATGACTAACTTGTTTTGGAATGTTGCCCCCGTGCCCAGATGCCCACAAACCCAACCCTTGTTGCCATTATAATAAAATATCATTATTAATCTGGTGCCGGCACAGCGCCCAGATCCGCCCTGTGTGTGTGCACCTTCACCGGGGGGGGAGCTAGTGTAGTGGAGACGTTCGCACGCTGCGCTACGAACCCGGCGACCCAAATTCAATTCGCGCTCACGGCCAACACCGGTGAAGATTATTTGAACCGGTCCTTGGCCTCCCCTAGGTCGTCTCAGCCTCAAATGAGTAGCTGGTGCGGTGCGTAACCTTCGCCGATGGGGAGACAAAGGCGTCCGGGCGTGGTGCTGGCCACCCACCCCCTCGTGTGCCGTGTTGGCCTTCATAGGCGCTCGCTAACAGCACTTGCCCCTCCAGTTTGTTAAGGCTATACGGGGGATCTTTGTATTTTTTTGCCCTCACCGCGCCAGCGCCTACCAAGATAACCAGGTGGCACCCACACACCGTGTCACCACTTGCAATTCGGTAATCTGCCCCTTTGCAATTTGATTTCTAAAATTACATGTTAAGTATGTACCTCTCAAGGAGAGAATATATGATGATGTTGCATTTGGCAGTCGTGCACAAAAAAATTCCCGTGGCCTTAAAAGAAAAAATATAGATATAATAAGTGGTAAGAATAGGTTTTACCCCTTTCTGCAAATAAAACAGGAGGTGTGAATATGTTCAAACGCCAACTAGATACCTTTGGCAAGGAATCAAGTTCGCACAAGCCACACGTACTTGTGGTGAAAATGCAAACAAACACGCTCTGATAAATGTACGCATTGTCTTTGAAACTGATTGGCCTACACCAGAGACAGCCTTCTTGATGGCCTTGTCTCACCAGTGTCAGACCAGAGAACGTCAAAAGGCGGACAGTACAAAGACAAAGCCACACGCGTTTATAGCTCGGGTGAGCAGCTATATAATGCAACCTTTTTGCCAGTATCATGCTTTGATAATAAGTGACATTTCAGGCGATGGCCTTCATAGAACAGAGAGGCCAGAGAGATATCATTAATAATGGTTGGACACCGCACTTTACACCACGATGAGAATTACATTCTGATGACCAGAATTTAAATAGGCATATGACTAGTTGCCTAATATTAGCCATTGAGTAACATATGATCCCTTCAGGAATCAAGAAGTAATACTCCGAAACAAACTAATTTTATTTCAAAGTAAAATTATACTATGTTGTTGGCGCCTTGCATTGTGGGAAGTAACAGCCGAATTTATCATTACTGCTTGATGCAACCCCTTGTGGCCACTCGAGACGTTACAATGTACCTCTCAAAATATATCTATTTTTTTAAAGTTGAATCACAACCTCAAATCACGACAGGGGTTTGGAAAATCAAATGTTGTCGGAACAAATTGTCACAAACTCGGCATCGCGATTCGATTCAAGGATCGATTTGTTTTTCTCTGCCTCCTTTTGCACCGCCTCGTTTGTGTTGTTGTCGATCGTGTGGGATCAGCACTCGCTCTCTTGTCCCGCGTGCTCAGAATGTATCGCAAAAGCCCTGCTGGGCTCCTTAAGCATCTTTGCGTAGACAATAACTTTATTTTAAAGCTTCTTATGCAGCCTCTGCAACGATCCTCACCAGGATAGATTAATTCGGTCACGCATTATCCGTCAGCTTCCCCCCAACCGAAAGCTATTACCGCATTGTTGACAAAATAAAACATTGGCGCGTTAAACTTACCAGAACTTCAGCGCACGCACAAAGACAAAGATCCCCCGTCTAGCCTTAACAGACTGTAGAAGCAAGTGCTCTTAGTGAGCACCTACGAAATCTGGCACAGCACACGATGGGGATGGGTGGCCAGCACCACGCTCGACCGCCTTTGCCTCCCTAGTGGACATGTTTACACACCGCAACCAGGTACTCATTTGAGGCTGAGTCGACCTATGGAAGGCCCAGGAACGGTTCAGATAATCGTCACTGGCGTTGGCCGTGAGCGGGAATCGAACTCGGGTCAGCCGAGTTCGTAGCGCAGCGCGCTACCGCTCACACACGCGTGCGCGTGCGTAATAGTTGCGTGCTATCAACAGCATGTATTCCTGCACACGGCTTTCAGTGACACTTTTGCCACTCTTAACCTTTGCACGCTCGAGCACAGCACTCGCACAGGGGGCGGGCTCCCACGGAGCGGCTTAGACGTTTACCTGCAGACAGACCCAGAGTAACCCTCTGAAGTCACCGACAGTCACCCCTCGGGAGTGGGAAAATCACCGCGAGACGAGACCCTCTGCTCACAAATTGCCCCCGACAACTCCTTTTCAGGCGATATAAAGCGCGACCGGCAGGAAGCGCCGTGTTCGGTGATCGGGTTCACGTGTTAAGGTGCAACGCGGCAGGCGGGTGAATGACCGACACTAACCTGCGGCGTGCACCGAAGTAAACTTCGGAGTGGCACACAGCAACTCCCGTTCATCATCACTCCACGTTCTTTTCATATTGGTATGTTTTTTATCTTTCTACCCCCCCCCTCTCCCCCCCACAATGTATTCCCAATGTGGTATCGGTGTCACGTGTCACGTCACGTGACGAGGAATACGTTCGGTCTCTTGCAGGGCGGTGCAATGCTTTGTGATACAGAAGATCCCACGGAAGCGGATATCACAGAACTAGTTTTGTTTTATTATTTGCTAATTGGTGCCCAGTAATGCATTGCGAAGTGGATCGTGTCTTGCGCTCACAAGAACAAACCTTCGCACATTCCGATGTGCCAGCAGCATTTTTTATATGTTAGTTTGAATATAATTTCGTTTATTTAGTAGGAATACGTTTTGATTATCGAAGGGGTTGTCTGTTCCTCAATAGCTACTATTAGTATAACTATTAATATGCCAATGTAATAACTGGTCATCAGAAATACATTTTAAAAACTTTAATCATCATCAGGCCCCATGGTGTAAACAAGTGCAGTCTCCAACTCTATACCATATCTCTGGCCTTTCTATGTGCTATGAAGAAGGACCATTACCTAAAACGTTGCCTCTCATTTATATATATTTTTTCCTCTCAAGGCCACAGCGTTGTTGACGTGCAATGTGTTTGAGATGTTAGTTCTGAAATCATTTTCCAGCGACCTCTCAGCCAAAAGCACGGAGGCTGGGCCAGCTTGTGTCGTGTCTATGTCGTGTCTATTTAATTTCCACCCACCAGGTAGACGGCGCCGGCGGTGCCGGCGATGAGGGGGCTGACGGCCATGATGACGAGAGTGAGCTTCCATCCCTGCGAGAAGCCGACGCCCAGGCCGGCCGCAAACCTCACGACGAGCTGCAGCATGACGCTCACCTGGTCGCTCATGCCGTCCTGCATCTTCATCACGTTGCTTCGCCGGGGACAGGCGTGGCAGCGGACAGAAATACATCGCAATCAGACCTCCGGCTTCCGGCAGGGAGACGTGTGCCCGCGGTGTTAACCGAGGATTTAATATTTGTTTAGTTTGTTGCCTTTCCCCCGAACCTCGATTAGCACGGTTTGGCTACGTACGGTGTGAAAGAAGTTCAACACACATACGCACATTTATTTTTGATCTCCCAATGTTATCCCGGTTGTGCTTTCGGCGTCAAGTCATGGGATAGATAATTTGGCATAGAGGAGCTCTGTGTTAGAGGACTGCCAGTGGAAGCAAGTGGATATCACAAGAGCTAATTCCGACTTCCCTTCTTCAAGTGCAATCTGGTGCACACACAGTGGCAGACACCACTTGTCCACTCGCTGTGCATATGAGAGTGAGGTCCATCACGTGACAGTCAAACCGATACCTGAATTTGTAAAGTTGAAATTTTGCCAAATTTAAAGTGATGCATTTTTATTGCACGGTCATTGGTGACTTGGCTGAAACCAACATTTCATGTGAATTGAGACTTAATCGCAGGCAGTTGTCCAGAAAATATTTCCATTTCCGACACACAAAGTCTATTTTTCGCCATAGATGTGGCCAGCCGCTGCACAATCTGCTCGACTCAGGTTTTTTTTACTTTTCTTGATAATATATTTTGTCTGATCGTGCTCATTGTGTTTACATGCTTGACCTGTGCAGTGCATTGAGATTAAAAGCTACATTAAATCAAATTATTATGATTATTATTGATTCTGAGAAAGGAGCATTTGAGAATTAGTACACAGGCCAGAAATCAGTACCGCCTGAGGTGGCAAAATGTTTGCAGTGCCAATCTATTTACACGGCCAATAAAAGTGAATGATGTGATAATCTACGAATTTAAAAGCTTACCACGTTTTCACTTTTACTCGTGGTGTAAATAAAGTGGGATCGTAACATTTCGTCACCATAGGCGGTGCCGATAGGCGGTACCGACAGGTGACACCTCTGGTATGTGCACGTATAGGAACTGTTTAAAACACGTAGCTTGATTCTATAGATTTAAATAATCTTTCCCATCAATAATGGGAATAAAAAAAACCTGGGGGATGGATATCAAAAGCATGGGATTTCATTTTTTTTCATTTTTATAATCCACCTAATAACCCCTAAACTATATTCACATCACCTTAACAAAGTGGCCCAACACTTAACGTTGCTGATTAGAGCCACTGGCACGAATCTGGTTCTTTTCAATATGAAAAATAACACATTTGCAGCAAAACTTTTGTGATCCTGTCAGGTGCTAAAGAGCCCGTCCACAGTGACCGATTAGGATGAGGATCCTTGTAATGTGCACGTTACGGTGGTCTGAGGAGAAGGCTCACTGCCTGACTGGGCCGCCAAAAGGTTTTTGATGTTTTTGGAGGCCCAGGGCAAAATTCCAAATCAGGCCCCTTTGGCCTTTTTTGTGGTGCCCCCTATGAGGCTGCTCGTTCTGAGACCTCTTCAGATCTGAGGCTCAAGGCAAACTGCTCCACCTGACACCCCCACCCCGCCACTTGAATCTCTGCACCTGATTTTTTGGTCCCAAACTCCTCTACAAATCGGCAGGAAGTGCCGAGATTATTTTCTAACTTTGGCTAATCAGGAAGAGGCCTACGTCGTGGGCATTGACACGGACGTGAAAACATGAATCTATTTCAATCAACTACCGTGAAGCGTCCCAATGGCCTCCATCCAGTACCAGAGTTTACCAAACCCGTCTGGAAGCACCGCGCGGTGCTGAATCAGACAGGGTTACCACCTCCGAGCTACGAAAGACCTCATTATATTTCATGGGAAAAAGAAGTAGGAGGAGAAGAAAAGATCTCGCATTATCAGAAGAAGGGATACCTTCACGCAAAATGAATTGTCTTGAGCGGTGGTGTTATCATCACTGTGATTATTACGACCGCTCATACTACTACTCCACAACTGACAAAAAACCGGAGCTCTTTATTCTCCTGGGAACACTCGGAAGATTAGCCCAGGACGGGGTGCCACCTCAACGGGAACGGCACGGGCGGGCGGTAATCGTAGCTGGCCGAGGAAGGTGCGGCGGCGAGCGCCGGTCCACTCACTCGGTGAGACAGTTGCCGAGCTCGCCGGCTTGGCTCGAGTCGAACCAGGCAGCGTCCTGCCGCAGGATGGAGCGGAAGAGGAGCCGGCGCACGCGGTGAGCCTGGCGCGCGCCCGCCGCCGCCCAGCACGCCACCTGTACCGTGCCCAGCACCATCACGGCCGCGCCGCCGCCCATGAAGGAGTAGGCGTACTCCGTCATTTTGTCCTCGATGCTGCAAGAGCGCGCGGGAGGGCGGGAGGGCGGGCGCCGACGCGTCGATCAGCGTCAGTCTCGATGAATGCGGGGTAGATATCGACGAAATAGAGATTGACCCTGATTTAACGTGGGTCAATGTTGATCGTGAAGAGCGTGCGATGGGCACGCGGCGAATTCAGTGTGCGAAAGTCCAAATTAAAAAAAATGCGCGGATTTGAATAGCTTGATAAACACAGTGACAGCGAGTACCGTGGACAGCCCCTTTGTCAAATCGCTGCTGGATGAGGGCCTCCCCACTACGCGCCGGTTATTTTGACCATACTTCACCACGCTAGTTAGTGCGGGTTGGTGGCTGTGGGGAACTTAGACACGAGAGCATACACCTACAAAAGTTGATGTGGCTGCTCTGGCTACCCACGGCATAACCCCCCAAAACGATGTGCTGATGCCACATTTATGCCCGAAGAATGAACGTAACTTCAAACAATACCGAAATAAAATCGGAAACGATGCAAATGAGAGAGCAGAAACGAGACAAAAAGGAATGGATTCTTCATTTCAATGGTGAACCCCAGACTGTGACAATGTTTGTAGAACTCGCTTAAGTTGTGATTGTTAAACGCCTCTTATTACGCGCGAAGGCTGCCCGATTGTTGTTGTTGTTGTCAAAGCAATTAAAATTGTCATCAATAAAACAAATCGATCTGCCCGCGCGTGGAGATCTCTCACTCGAAGGTGACGTTGGCGAGGATGTTGCCGATGCAGGAGAAGTTCCCTTGGCACTGGTCCACTTTGCCGAAGTCCACGAAGGACGAGGTCATGTCCCCAAACACCATGAAGAGGATGGGGTAGGTGACCCCGTGGCCCACGGCCGACAGCGTCCCCACCACCATGAGGAAGATGTCCCACCGGTCTGCAAAGCGGAACTGGGCCCAAGCGCAGACGCGTGTGGAGTTTGCGACATTGCTTTCGTTTTACTGGCCTGGGAATTGACTGAAATTAACCCCCGAGGGGTGACCTGTAGTAAACTCTGAAATGACACCGAGTAACCTCGTTCACGGTCCCCGCATTCTCCTTTCACACTTACGCATGTTTTGCTGTGCTCTTTTGTAACCACCCAAAATGTTATTACGATTGCGCAATCGACATCGCGACCTTTGATTCGCGCCGCTGGCTACGGACGGTGCGAAAGAAGTTCAACATACATACATACATACGTACACACACGCGCACACTGATGAAACGTCCATTCGGACCTCTTTCAGAGCAGTGCGACCGTTCGTATTCGAGAGCGGCCCCGCGGAGGCGCATATCGGAGAGCTACCTCTGAGACCCCTCTGGTCTACGTTGTAGAGAGCAGCACTGTCCCACCCACCCCTGCCGATCACGGACTCACCGCGGTTGTCCTCATTTGCAGTGCTGGGTGGACAGAGGCCGAGGGTGGTGGTGGGGGAGGGAGTAGGGGCCTGGGAAAACCGCTGCCCCATTGTTTCGACTGCCGCGTCCTGGAGGTCAATTCGAGCGGGCGACCTCTGTGGAGTGCGAGTCTAATGTGCTGACCATTTACACCTCAACAGCGTCCCGCACCGACACCGATTCACCTCGATCTGTGGTGGTGGTGGTGGTTTCCTTAAAGCATTTCCGAGTTTCTGACCCGTCGGCTCTGTGTGGTTTGTATTGGTTCATAGCAATGGGTGGGGGGGGGGGGGGGGTTCTGGGGGGGAGAGGGGTTAGAACGCGTAAATATCTAAAAAGCGTCGTTAAAACCGCCACCACCAGATACAGCCAATTAGCAAGGTTTGTCACGTAAACGAAAAGTGCCGATTTGTTACTACTTCAGCGCACCGGTGTGTTGGAGAGTAAACCCGCAGCATTTACAATTCGCTGGTGATTCCAACCAGCTTCGTCAGGCGACTTTGCCGTAATTGTACTCGCACGCACGCTCACCAGGTCCAGCGGTTGACTGGCTGTGATGTCTTCTTGGAGGAATCCTTTTTCTTGTCGTCCTGTAGGCGATACGAGGCGTACATCGACACCGTGCACAACAACGTGCACGTGAGCATTGTAACAACGTTGTGCACCCGTTGAGCGTGACGGCTTTGGGAAGAGGCCTTCAATCCAGCAGTGAGATTAATCACCGGCAGATGATGATGATGGTGACTGATGATGAAGATACCTTGGTGCACGACACCCGGTAAAGAGCCGATGACCAAAATTAACCCGGAATGTTGCCCCGGGTCTCCACGGATATGCGAAGCTAAACAGGGGTTGGGCAGCCAGGAGAGTAGTTTGCATGGGGGTGGCCGCTGTGCATAGCAGGTGTTATAGGCTGCTGCGGACTAGTGTGCGGTGCGACAGAGGGCAGTGCAGCAAACATCTATTGCTGTACTATACTTCTATGCTCCCGCGCCAATGCTCTCCGCCTTCATCAACCCGCATGGACTCAGCGTGGTGAAGTGTACAACTTGCTCAGAGAACACCCAGGGGGACCTGCGCAGCGCGCTCAATCTTGAGATCCTCATCCAGCAGTGGATTTGACAAGAGGGCTGCTGTACACATGCCGTGGAAGAGACAGAGCGCCCTTAGGCGTGTTGGCAACAGCTTGGCCACGTGGCGGCAAGCGTCAACGATCTTGCGAGAGGCCCAGCACAGGTGTGAGTCACCATCACCTGGCCAACGTTGCAACAGCAGCAAGCAGCCGCTGTGGCCAATGGGCAACATCAACAAAAACGACAACAGCCGCCGCCCGTTCGCCACTAAGTGGCGGGGACGATTCACGACAGCGCTTGAGCCCTCAAAGGCGCTCGGTGCATTCTGAGGCCACGTGGTGAAGGATCGCTGACAGGTGACGGAACAGACCCAGGTGCCATGTGTAACCGCTTCCACCTTTGTTTACCTAACCAATTAACCGTGGTGAACACACCAACATAAGCTTGGCCAATGTGCAAGACAAAAGATCCCCGTGTAGCCTTAACAGACTGTTGGGGCAGGTGCTGTTAGCAAAGGCCTATGAAAGCCGGCTCCACACACGAGTGTGTGGGTCGCCATCACCACGCCCGGCCGCCTTTGTCTCCTCAGTGGCGATGTTCACACAACGTACCAAGTACTCATTTGAGGCTGAGTCGACCTAGGTGAGGCCCAGGACCGGTTCAGAAAATCGTCACTGGTTGTTGGCCGTGAGCGGGAATCGAACTCGGTGTCGCCGGGTTCGTAGCGCAGCGCGCTCACCACTACACTACCGCTCCCCCCACTGTGCAGGCGTACACACACTCACACACTCGTGAAGAGGTGCACGTGGCACAGCTGACCCCGAGGTGATGTTCTACAGGTGTTCGTGAAGGGTTAAGTCAGAGCGGGCTCTGGCCTAAAATATGGCTCTAGATGTTGGTGTTATAATTTATTTATGTAGTTTATTGTTAAAAATTCGATCACAGTCCCTATGATCACTGTTACATTGCATTTATGGCTTTATTTTGGTGATTGCGAAAACGTTTTTTGGTTTTTGGCCATGTTTTTGTTTATTGTAGTACGGAGTTAATCTTAGTTGTCTTGTGATTGTTGTTGTTATTTGACTTGCATCCCACTGGGATTTTTTGCACACAGCGTTGGTGTACGGTGCTATTTCAGGAATATTTTTGATGTTTTTTTCCTGGATTTTCTGTTTGCACAGTCACATTATCACTTTAAGATGTTTTTCTTGTTCATGTCTTTTTTTGTTGCGGTTGGCTCACAGGGCTATACCAAATAAATGAAACTATGAACTATATACGTTGACGAAGACTGCGGCGACTTTTGATTACCGTAGACAAGTAACGCCACCAACTCGACGCATCCGTTAACAACACTGCGGCTTTAAGATAAATATATACTGTCCAAATATACTCTCACATGTAATCCGCGACGTCTCTCAAAAGCCTTCTTGTCCGAAACGTTGCCGATAATATATTTTTATTTTTCATTTTACGGCCACGGTGTTGTTGACGCGGGTGTTGAGTTGGTTGTTGTTCGTCGTGCAATACTGCCAGTATGACCAAATACTTTTGAGTGCAGTAATACCCCGGTTCGTGTCGGGGATGCGTTCCTGAAAAGTACAACGCATATCAAATGGCGTGTATTATTATTATTACTACTACGGTCTGGAACACTCTTCCTTCCGATATTGGGAAGCGACTTTGAGCTATGCACTTTTAATTCTATATCGAAAACGCTTTTTTGTGTTTAGTTTGTTATCCGACCGGCTCTCTCCAAAAAAACGTGACATCACGGGAAATGACGTTGCTTGTTGTCCTTCCCCCGTACCTCCGATTAGCACGGTTGGCTACGTATGGTGCAAAAGAAGCACAACATACATGCAAAGACACACTGTGGTATTAACCAGGGCGGCCGCTGGAGTCGAACCGCGAACCTCCGCAACGACAAGCAGCGGCGAACCCGCTGCTCCCACTTGGGGGGGGGGGGGGGCGTCACACCCCCGGGGTGCGGGAAAAGTGAAGAACAGCAGGTGCCGTCGACAGCAACGAATCACAGATGAAGAAGAATACGGTGAGTTCACAATCACAACAGTTGTTTGCGCTGGAGGAATCCGATGAGCGATAAAGATTTTTGCACAGATGTCCAGTAGGAGCGGGCAAAAACGTTACAACAACGGACAATGCAAAAACACGCTCGCCGTGCAAAGGAGAATGAAAAAAACAAATCACCCAAACACGTACAAATAAAAACTAAACCGTGAGTCCTCCCCAGTAATTTCTTCCCATTTCCAGCTATTGTGAGCTTCTCCTCACGATATCTCCCGGCTATTTGTACCTTGGAGGTGGCTAACCATAGCTTGACCTGCGCACAGTTCCCTGTGATGCGCGTCTATCTCAATGCAGTTTCACACAGCGAACTCTCAATATCGATCTGAACATGCATTTCGATAATTAAGATTATTTTGCTGCTATAAATGTCCAAAATGGCAAGCCGTTTTGTTGAGCAATCATTTGTGGCCAGGCCGCTTCTGAAAAAGGGCTGTATAGA